ACTGCAACAGTCTCTTTTTTTATTTTATTTTATTTATTTTGGCATATTATAGGGGTACAGATTTTAAGGTTTCAATAAATGCCCTTTCCCCCCCACCCCCTACAAGTCTGAGTCTCCAGCATGACCATCCCCCAGATGGTGCACATCTCACTCATTATGTATGTATATACCCGTCACTGCAACAGTCTCTTGACTGACTCCCTAATTTTGTCCTTGCCTCCCACTTTAATCTATGCATCTATAGCAGCAAGAGTGAGCCTGTTAAACATAAAAGTCAGATTTTATCACTCCTAGGCTCAAAATCCTCCAATGGCTTCTAATTTCAGTCACAGAAGTTGTTCATGTCCTTATAATGGCCTACAAAACCTTCATCTCCAGCCCCAAGCTACTTCTCTAATCTCAGTTATTATTCTCTCCTCCACTCATTCCATGCTAGTCACCCTGCTCTCCTTGCTTTTCTTCAAACACAACAGATAAGCTACAGCTTCAAGACCATTCCTTTGCCATTTCCTCTGCTTGTACAGTCTTCTTGTGCCTGGCCTACTCTCTGACCTCCACTGCCTTTAGTTTCTGTTCAAACATTTTTCTTACTTGTTTGTCATCTATCTTCCCCTCACCAGAATATAAGATCTATGAGCTCAGGGACTTGTATGTTTTGTTTACACAGTGCCTCAAATAATTCCTGGCAGAGAATAGGTGTTCAATAAATATTTGATGGGTTAATACAGGAAAGTTAAGGGTACTAAAGGATGCTGAGCAGAAAATAAGACCAGACATTCATTTCACCATTATCTATTAAACCAGAGAGCTAAGGAGAAGGGGACTGTTATCATATTTAATCTCTTTTAACCCTCTTAGTGCGGCAGGGCTTTTGCATCTGGGACGAGAAGTGTGGCAGGCCGTACTTTTCGCCCTAGATGCAGAAGCCGATTTTTTGGCTGGCTGCACTAAGAGGGTTAAGACTATAAAACAAAACAACATACCATTATTTGTTTATATTCTGAATGGAATTTCATAGATATTACTTACATTCAACTTGCATTATCTGCAACAAAAAGTATTTTTACATAAATTATATGTTATTAAAGCATAATATGGGGAGGTTATGTAAGAGATAAGACTGATTACACTTCATTTATATGTGTATTTCAAATTCCCTTATGAAGCATGTTCCTTGATGAAGGCCCAACATGCTAATTATATGCATCATGTTATCTACTCATCAGGGTGAGTCAGGTAGGATACCTTTAGCCATACATTGAGATAGGTAATATTATTACTCCACATACATCAAAATAATGAAGTATATATTTCTTTAAAAATCTTACAATTCAATATTTTTACTTATGTATAATCCTAATTAATAAGGTTATATTATTATATTTCCATAGGAATTAAAATATCAATATGAAGAATACTTCATTCCATTTGTTATACTCATGAACCTGTTATTTGTCTCCCTTAATGCCTTACCCTTAAGGAATTAAACTCTTCATGTTACTATAGTGTGTAACCCAATGTAAAAAGCTGGGAAGTTTAAACAGTCTAAATTAGAACTCCTTTTTAAAAATCAAATCAAACTATATTGTTAGTGATTAAAGAGTACTATTTTTCTAAGAGCTTAATATTTTAGAGATCTAAGCCACAGAAGAACCAATGAAAGATACAGTTATAGTATAATGTCATACTGACCCTCTGTGGTTTATTTAAGTATAACATCACAAAAGTCTTGAGGTTCAGGGAAATTATTATTATTGAAAACCCACATTTCTTAAGACACAAACCCACCAGAATACACATGAGATGAATAGTACTTTGTAGTTCATAAGATAACTTAAAAAATATCTCAAATTAAGCAGTACAGTTATTATTGGGCTCAATTTCCAAATGAGTAAACTGAGGTTCACAAAGATTAGCTCAATTAACTCATATAAGATATGTATCATGTAAAAGACTTTACATTTGTACACTTGCATGTGCGTGAACGCACATATACAACAGGGATTCATAGGCAACAATACCCCATTAGGAGCCTTCAAAAATACTAGAATTTTAAAAGCACCTTTAAAAGTGCATTACACATTAGAATATCAATTTTCCCACATTCAATTAAAAGTAAAAAATATATACCCAATGTTGATAATTCCATGAAACTGACACTCGTACTGATTGTTGAAAGCATTATAATAAGCTGGTACAACACTTTTGGAAAGAAATTTGGCAATAACTTCAAGACACAAAAAGTATTCATGTTCTTTCCTAGTAATTCTATTTCTGGGAAACTATCCTATGAAAATAAGTCAAAATATGGAAAAAGCTATAGATTATTTATAACATCCTAGATACTTGGCATCTAAGATTTAATATTTGAGGTTTTGACACTGGTAGTTTTATAGCTTGTGAGAGAACCACAGGTTGATCTATAGCATATGTAAAGTTGCTGTTTGAGGGAGGAAGTCATGTAACTAACTACTGAGTGAGTCTGACTTTTAGCAGCAGCTTCTTATTATGGCTTGGTTGTTTTCTACTAGTCCTCACATGCATAGAAACATTGTAAGGAATGAAAATTACAAACCAATATTCCTCTTTAACATAGGTGCATTAAATATCTTTTTTCTTCTTTCTCTGAGACAGGGTATCACTCTGGAGTGCAGTGGCACAATCAGCTCACTGCAGCCTCCAACTCCTAGGTTCATGTGATCCACCCACCTCAGCCTTCCAAGTAGCTGAGATTATAGGCACGTGCCACTACGCCTAGCTAATTTTTCAAATTTTTCATAGAGATGGGGGTCTCACTATGTTCACGCTGGTCTCAAACTCCTGGCCTCAAGCAATCCTCCTGCTTTGGCCTCCCAAAGTGCTTGGATTACAGGCAAGAGCCACTGCTTCAGCTGGTGCAAATATCTTTAATAAAATATTACCAAATATGGGAGGCCGAGGTGGGAGGATGGCTCACGGTCAGGAGTTTAAAACCAGTCTGAGCAAGAGCAAGACCCTGTCCCTACTAAAAATAGAAAGAAATTAATTGGTCAACTAAAAATATATACAAAAAATTAGCCAGGCATGGTGGTACATGCCTGTATTCCTAGCTACTCAGGAGGCTGAGGCAGAAGGATCACTTGAGCCCAGGAATTTGAGGTTGCTATGAGCTAGGCTGATGCCATAGCACTCTAGCCCAGGCAACAGAGTGAGACTCTGTCTCAAAAAAAAAAAAAGGTTACATGAAAGTATCTTCATTAAGTTAATTCTAAGATTAGACTTAAACTATAAAATATTTCACTTAAAAGACAGAATTCAACATTTCTTAGATTCATAAAAGCAAGGGCCTCAAGTAAAATATGTCTTCACAAACATTCGAGTGGCACCATGCTTATGAAGCTTTTTTGTGGAGACTTACTGACATAGGGAGCTCAAGCCCTTAAAGTAGCCTTCATGCTACCTTACTGGACAATTCTAATAATACAGAGAATTTCTCTTTATAGTACATTGAAATCTACCTGCCTTCGACTTTTATCCACTGGCCGTAGTGCTAACCTGTGAGGTAATGAAAGATATTAAGTCTTTATATATCCTATACTTGGAAATAATTATTAAAGTCACTTTTTAGACTTTTCCTCTCCAGGCTAAATCAATTGAGTCCTCCCAATCATTGGTCATATGGTACACTAATAAACTTCATTATATTTTTTTTACTACAACTTTCTGCAAGAGTCAACCATTTGAACCAAATGGGTCATAACACATATATTACTATATTCCTATAGGAATATAAGGGAGACATATGTTCACCCTAGTATATTTACTACAATAGCCAATCAATTCTCAAATATTACTATCAAAATATGCTAGTCTTTTTTCCCAAATAAAAACCATGCAAACGAATGTTTTATTCTCAGTGCAAAAGCATGCTACTCATACAAAAATAGAAATAATTGATGATAGAATACTTTTTTATATTTTAGACAATGATATTCCTGCAAGTGGTTAGTATTCTTTCTTTCTTCTAGAGACTAACTGGGGCTAAAAGACTGAATCCTTATCAAAACATATACCTGGCTTTAAAAGATATACATATATATAAACAGCAATAATCTGCAAAAACAGTATTGGTGCAAAAGTACATGCTGATCTGCCCAGCAAAGTTGAAAAACTGTGTACAGCAGTCCCCCATTATCTGCAGGAGATATATTCCAAGACCCCCAGTAGATGCCTGAAAACACGGATAGTACCAAATCCTATATACATTATGTTTTTTTCCTATACATACATAGCTATGATAAAGTTTAACTTACTAACAGATTAAAAACAATAATAAAGTAGAACAATTACAATATACTATAATAGAAGTTATATGAATATAGAGTCTCTTTGTCTTTCAAAGTGTCTTATAATACTAAACTGTACTCACCTATTTTGGGACCACTGGAAAGTGAAACCATGGATAAGGGGGGACCACTACATATTAGAGAATAATTCCTATTTATCACAGTTTTATCTTTGTTTAGCTTTGACATTGTTGTAATTAATATTATACTACTCTACTATCCCATATTGATTATTCACAGCAAAATTGAGATGAGGAACTATGTAATACATATTTTGCCTTAGTGAAACCTCACGAATTAAGGACTAGTATGGGTTATGGAAGAAAAGGTCACTTAAGAATCATATACCTTAAAAAGAAGTATAGTAACTACAGAACACATGATTCCTGAATTAAAGTTTCTATATCCTGAGAATAATACAATTAACTTAGGATAGAAATAATTTATAGTTAGTAAATCGAAACCAATCAAGAAAAGTTGGTAAGAGTCTAAAAATCTAGTCACTAAGTGAGTTAAATAGTGTATGGAAATACTATGTGAAGGTCCTCACCAAAACATTTCTGGAAAATAAGAATTTTTAAGTTTGTTTCTAAAGAGTAGTTAAACTTCTAAACTGCACTCAACATCCTGAAATGAAGAAAAAGAGAAAACATTTACTTAGTATCTAATTCTTACCTGGAACCCACTTAATTTCCATTTCCATATCATTTTCTTTGCCTTTCTTTTCTTTTTCTTGAATAACCTGCAAGAGCTGCCTATATTTAGCAATTTGTTCCTCATCATCCTTCTGACTTTTCTTTGTTTTCCCGTCTTCTTCTACATTGACTCCATCACCACCTAACAAAACCAACCAACAAACAAAAATTTCATTTAATACCCAGAAACAATTCATTTCTAGATATGATAGTAACTCCAGCACCCTTCTAAAGGATGTTGCCAGACATACTGCAACCATAAAATATATCAAAATTGGTCTTAAACTTCTGAATATTAAAGGAACTGAATGATAGTCTTGTATATAATAAAAATCAGGTGCAAAATAAATTAGCACTGTCATAATAGTATACTTGAGAATCCCTTTTTATTAAAATTTACATTTCTAAATAATTTTGTAGTCACATAACATCCTGGGACTTCTCTTCCCTACAAGTTGCAAGACAGCAAGGATGGCACTTTATCCTTCTTTATGACCTCCACCATCTAGCACAGCAGCTTTAAAATGTTATGTTCAAAAAAGAAGGCTGAATATTGTTGGGATGAATTTGGTACATGGATTTAGCTATTTGGGCTAAAGAGAAGAGATAAAGGAAGTTGTTTATAATCTAAACCTATAAGTACTAAACCATTTCCAGTTGACTATAAGCATGCTTAGTCCAAAGATCTCATTAATATACAAAGAACAAAAATGAATAAATTAGGAGGTACTTCAATTAATTTCACTGTGTACAAAAAATATTCACATTTCCATTTCCTAGTTTTATAAAAACAATTAGAATATAAAGGAATAGCATAAAATTCATGGGCAAGAAATACCCAAGAAAACTAATACACAAAAAGTTTGTTTGCTCTGCATTTCTACTGGAATTCTCCAAATCAAGGAAATAAATTAGGAACCTGGGTTTTAATGCAAAACATACTTATTGAATTGACTAAATGTCCCGAGTAAAGGAAAATTTAGAAGCAGCATAATAAAGTCTCTCTTCTGTAACCTATGGTTAACTGATCACCAAAAAAAGTCTGACATTATTAAGCATTTGGCTGAGAAACATCACTGTTAACAGATAGTCTTTATATCGTTAAAAAGGTGAGATACATATATATCTTAAAAAACTTGGTTAGGTAAATATTTTTATATTTTTTCTTTCCCTAAATGAATAAAAAACAGTTTAGGACATTCTTTCCATCCTATCACACTTTTATATTTTTACCCAAACAGCTGAAATTCATTTTTTTCCTGTTTGTGCTTTGTGCTACAATAATAATGTTGGATGGAATTCTGTCATGTATCCCATAATTCAATGGATAAAACATCAGGAATACATTAACAAATGGCAATGTATTTCTTTCTATTAAAAGCTTACTTCTGAAAACATAATTAAAAGCAAGCTAAGCTCCTTCCAGGTTGAAATTTTAGTGGTAAGTCTCTGATGGTTGACTTTAAATTGATTTTTTCCAGTACTGAAATTTTACTTTCTGAAGCTCTAAAATGTGGGATAACTCATGTAGGTCTGTTTTCCCCCAATTTAAGGACATTACTTTGTGAAAGCCTTAACACTATATAAAGAGTGAAAAAATAATAATTCTAACAGTAAGCCACCCTTGCTATGCTCTTGTATAAACAATGAACTAGAAACATTTAGTAGTTCTAAGGCATTAGAATATATCATTGTATCACAGGTACCAAGTTACAGATTACAGTAAATTTGTAATCAATTAAAATACTGAAGAAAGGCCGGGCGTGGTGGCTCACGCCTGTAATCCTAGCACTCTGGGAGGCCGAGGCGGGCAGATTGCTCGAGGTCAGGTGTTTGAAACCAGCCTAAGCAAGAGCGAGACCCCGTCTCTACTATAAATATAAAGAAATTAATTGGCCAACTAATATATAGAGAAAAAATTAGCCAGGTATGCCTGTAGTTAGCGCATGCCTGTAGTCCCAGCTACTCGGGAGTCTGAGGCAGTAGGATCGCTTGAGCCCAAGAGTTTGAGGTTGATGCCACGGCACTCACTCTAGCCTGGGCAACAAAGAGAGACTCGGTCTCAAAAAAAAAAACTAATAAAATACTGAAGAAAAATAGATGCTTTAAAAAAGTTAATGGGTAGTATATTTCAAACAAAAAGCTATTAATCACCAAAGTTTTAAGAAATAAAAATATGCAATACAAGGTAGTATCTTAAGTACTTTATGTATATCATCTCAATTTTTCTAATCATGAGCCTGGTAGTATTATGATCTTCATTTCTCAGTTATGAAAAGAAAGACAAAGAGGTTTTAAGAAATTTAACTTACATAAGGTGAAGTCAGGGTTTGAAACTAGCAGAGCCCAAGATCTTAACAAGAATGTACTGACAATTTAATGCTTATTTATTCATGATACTAGTTGCCCTAATGTCAAAAATATCATTTTAAAATTTAGTTCACTTCTCTTAAACCAAAGAAATCTGTTTGAAAAACTAGTATACAATCTTCATAAGTACAGATAGAATGTTATCTTTTTTCCTTTATCTTAGGGCTGATAGTGAAGAAAAACTATCCAGAATTTTTAGAAAAGTTCTAAATACCTATATGGGCATACAAATAAAAAGGAAATGTAAATAAATAAATATGTCTTTCTCCACATGTTTGTAGGAGAAAGACATAAAGACTATTTGAAAAAAGGATCTGGCTGCTCTGTGTACACTAAGAAATAAAATCGTCACCCAATTCTTTGGAATGCCAAAAAAAAAAAAAATTAATAAGCAATAGCCACAGAGGCCTTAAAAAATGTGAACACTTTTATGCTCAACTATCATTGCAAATCATAAATTTTCAAAGACTATTAAATACTTAAGCAATTATGTGGTTTTATTACTATGAGATGTCTGAACAAAGAAACTAGAATGATTAAACATAATTTTCCATTCCATGTATGGAATACTGCTCAAGAGTGGTAGTTTATGAAAGGCTTGGAAAAATGAAGCACTATCTTCAGTAGTCTAAAAACAATCTGATAGACCAATCACAGGATCTAAGAAAGTCAAGGTTTAATGGCCTTATGGTAATTGTAAAGAAGTATTTTAGGATTATTTAATTTGTCAGGTAGGCTACAAAAACACATATGCAAAAGGAAAACCAAAAAGACAGCTATGAGAAATGTTACATTATAAACTAATCTAAAATACTTACATCTATGTTCAACATCAACGGTTCTTCACTTTCTATTAGTACCTGTTAAAACTCTTACTCACAGTTTTTCATGATTGGGATATCTTCTATTAGATAAGAAGAATGAAGATGTAGGCCGAGAGTAAAAACCCAAAACTGACATGAAATTACAACAAAGCAAACAAATTTCCAAACAGAGACAGATATAAGGAAAAAAAAGGTTTTGGGGGCTTTATTTTTATAAAATGAGTTATTTTAAGCAAAGAGCACATGCAATTTAACAGTACAGTTGACTCTTGAACAACGAGGGGCTTAGGGGACCAATCCCCTGAGTGGTTTAACATCCTTATATAATTTTTTGACTCCTCCAAACCTAACCACTAATACACTACTGTTGACTAAAAGCCTTACTGGTAACATAGTTGATCTACATATTCTGTATGTTATATATTATATATTGAATTCTTACAATAAAGTAAGCTAGAGAAATGGAAATGTTAAGAAAAACATAAAAAAGAGAAAATATATGTACTAAGTGGAAGCAGATCATCATAAGGGTCTTCCTCTTCACATTGAGTAGGCTGAGGAAGATCAAGAAGAGAAGAGATTGGTCTTGTTGCCTCAGGGTGGCAAAGGTGGAAGAATCTCCACATATAAGTGGACCCAGGCAGTTCAAACCCATGTTGTTCAAGTTGAATTGTACACTATTAATCATTTCAATCATCATCAAAAAAAAAAAAAATCTTAAAGAAAAGGACAATCTGAGAACTGCTTGCATAAATGGCAAGCTAGGTCCTTTAGACCAACCCTTTCACTGATGATAAAGCTAGATGAAATATTTTAAAGATATTTTTAAAGGCTTCACAGAAATTAAAAAAGAAGGAAAAGTTTCAAAGAACTGGCAAGGCAGTGAAGAATTACCATGTCAAAATCAGGAAGAAGGTAATATCAGAGGATGACCCCAGTGTTAAATACCTGTTTTGCTCTGAGATCATCTCCTATTTCCTAATCCACAGAAGAAACAGCTGTGAAACTCAATGGCAGTTTTAGCAGCGTTTCAGGGGCAAGAGGACAAAAGTTAAAGCCCCACAAAAGGAGGGAATTTCAACTAGTATCCCCTACATTAAGCAGGGATCCAGAGGGATAAAATCTCAGGGAAATGATCAATCTGAAGTAAACCAGCCCTCACACAGACTTGTATCACTGGCAGAAGCCAGAGAACCTGAAGCCTAAATACTTGGAATAATGTGGTTCTAGAATGACCAAAGTAAATGAAAGTTTGCCCTGATCAAAAAAGATACCTTCATCACACAAAGTTAATAAGGTACTCAAGTAAATGAGAGATAAGTATCTTGTAAAATAATAAAACAAACTGAAAATATATGAAACACTGAAACTCTCGGAGGATATTAAAAAAACATGCTTACTTACTCTGTTTATAGAAATAAAAGAATGTACTGAAACTATCTGCATGACTAGAAAACTATAAAACAAGTGATATTGCTGAGTTGAAAAATAGTCAAATAAACTTTTAGAATGAAAAATACAATAACCAACATTAAGAACTCAATCGCTAGGTCTATCAGCAGACTCAACACTGCTGAAAAGACAATTAGTGAACTGGAAAATAGGTTAGGCAAAATTCAGTACAAATAGATAATAGATAAAAAATATCAGAGTAGAGAAAGATAAGCTACAGTGAAAATATCGAATATATATTTAATTGGAGTCCCAAAAAGAGGCAAAGAGTATCTGAAATCATAACGGCTTTCATCAGTTTTCATATTCCAAAAATGATGAAAGATACCACTCACTGTTCATGAAACCCAACAACAAACTCCAAGCTCAATAAGTAAAAGGAAATCTACTCTTAGACACATTGCAGTAAACTTACAGAAAGACAAGAAAACTTTAAAAGCAGTCAAAAAATCCAAACAAACCTCAAAAAACTGAGAAAAGTTAGTCTGACAATTGACTTTTCAAAAACAACAATGAAGCCAGTAGAATATTATCATCAACGTGGGGGTAAGGAGGACTGCCAACCTAGAATGCTTTACCAGTGAAACTCTTTTCAAGTAAAGACATTTTCAGACAAATTAAACCTCAAGAAAGTTTGACACTAGCAGACACTCACTAAAGGAGATTCTCAAGGGTATACTTAAGGCAGAAGGAAAATGATTCCAGAGGTATGAGATTTAGAAAGAGCAAAGGGAGTGGGGGAAATGTGGGCAAATTCAAATGAGGGCAGTATGAAACAGCAATATTACATCCTGAAGGATTTAAAAAATTAGTTAGGATTACAACACAATGATAGCATGAAAGCTGTTTAAAGATTCCTAAATTGTCCAGAAGAGTAAAATAGTAATTATCATTAGACTTTACTTAATAAGGGCACAAGTCTTAATTTCTAGACTAAGCACAGAAACTGAGAGACTACAAACTACTTGAGGAGAAAAATGGATGAAAAATATTTAATCAATCTAAAAGAAGCTCTTAGTTAAAAAAAAGTAGGAAGTGTTAAGAAAGCATTTGTCTAGTTTACTAAGAGACTGTATAACTATATGCACCAGGACAAGTCTAAAAGACTAGGCCTTTTTTGTTCTTGTTAGGGCAGGGTTTTATTTTTTTTATTTCTTATTTTTTAAAGACACAGTCTCACTCTGTTGCCCCGGCTAGAGTGCTGTGGCATCAGCCTTGCCTAGCTCACAGCAATGTTAAACTTCTGGGCTCAAGAGATCTTTTTGCCTCAGCCTGCCGAGTAGCTGGGACTACACGCATGCGCCACAATGCCTGGCTAATTTTTTCTATTTTTGGTAGAGACGGCAGGAGCCACTGCGCCGGGCTAGGGCAGGGTTTTAAACAAAATGTTTATGGTTAGAGAAATTCAGGCTAAGGAAATACTTTTTTAAAAAATGCTATCACTATCTACAGGTGTATACAATACTGTGCATGCGAGTATGCTTTGAAGACAGTTTGAGAATTTGTTTGATTCTCCCCTTTAAGCTACTTACAGTGACATATTTCCATTAATAAGTCACTAAAGGATTAACAAGTACCTTGTAGCTCCTCTTCTATCTCTTCTTCGCTAGAAGAAGCTAAGTAGGCTTGAAAATCCATATCCAAAAGCTCTTCCTTTTTAAACTTCCTGTTGAGTGTTGTAATTCTTTCATGATCAGTCTCATCCCAAGTGATCTCCACCTTTCATCAACAAGTAAGAAAAACAACCCAAAATTGTTAAACATTATATTGTTAACTTGGTTGTTTAACGGTAAGTTAAAATAAGTTAAGACACTAAAACAAATACATGAATGACATAACTAATGGAGTATCCTATTTGTAAAAAGGGAACCATTTCTATTAGCTTACACCTTCGTCTTCCTAATTCTCTGCTATATAAAGGGTATGCCTTTATTGGGAGTAAAAATTAATCAGTGTGCAGGTTAATTATGGTAGAAAAAAAAAAAAGAAAATGTACTGGTGAAAAAGTTGCCATTATTATGAATCAGTGAAAACACATCTTTCACCTGGAATTCTAGTATTTCAGGAGGGCGAAAGCACATTAAACTTCCATTATATATAAATTCATCTATAACATGATTGGTCTGGTGATTGACTCCTGTCCTTGACACAGTCCCTATTCTCAATAGGGTCCTGCTAGAGGTTTTATCTTCATCACAGGATAGATCCCATAGCTTTATTTTTTTTCCCTGTCAGGCCAATATCCTCAGATGAGGACAGCAAAATAGGTATCAATTAACCAAGATATCTTTAGAATCACTGCTACTGTTTTAGAAGTTCCAGGTAGTCACAGGATTCAGAATTATCCCTATTGTGATAATTAAGTCTGGGCTAATAACCACCAAACTGCTGTTGGAACTGGGACATATGTTGGTAATACTGCCAGGACTCAGGAACTCCAGACTGGCTGGCTGGATGGGTTGGGCTGGCGCTGGTCATTATTTTGGTCCTGAAAATAACACAACTTTACATTTTATGTGACTGAATATTTTAGGCTTCACTTTTCACATAATGATAGGGCTTTACTATACTCAGGAACTAATCAATGCCACATAGTGCCCACCACAGTACAGTAAGTGGCAGATACAGCAACTCTCTCTGCCACCAGCCCCTCCTCAGAGGAACATAGTGGTTTGTCATACAGGAAAGCCAGATCGTGGCTGCTGTAGAGTATAGCTGTGGGTAGAAGATTTAAGGGAAAAAGAAAAGGGAGAAGGCAGTTAGCTAAGTAATACACTATTTCAACAGACAAAAACTCTTTGGGTGTTTGTTATTAAGCATTAATGTGACTTCTATTAGTCCTGAATTATTCTTCATCATTTGTTTTTATACTTTTGGATTATATCTACAGAAAAATGTGCTCCTATTTTAAATTTTCACAAGCTTTAACTGTGACTTGAGATATCTGCTAGGATCTGATATATTACTTATTAAGGAACCTAGTTGCATAAGTGTGTGTGTGTGAAAGATAGAGAAAAAAAGAAACATTAGAAGGTAAGTGACTTAGGCTTAAAGACATAAAAGGAATCTGAAAATAGGTTCAAATAGATGTGGTAGATAAAAATGCAAACACAGCTGCATCTCATTTCTATTTGTACTTGTGCATTTAAATTTTGAATACTTTCCATTTCTAAAGATGCTATAAGAAAATAATACTTGAAATCTCTTTTTAAAGCAATACAGGGTACACATTTTTAAAAGTTAAGAAATACCGTTGATGTTCCCATTGCAGCAGATGTGAAATATTTTGGTTTATATGCTGTCAGATCCACTTCTGAGGCTACCTCTTTGGGCTCGTCATCAAAAGTAATATCATCTGGTATAAACCTAAGATGCAAAGAAAAAATAAATTTGTTTAAACATATGCTACAGAGATAAATAACCAGAATTTAGATTCTCATCTAATTAATTATAGTTTATATATACATACCATATAAAACTTTGTATAGAACAAAGAGGCAAACAATGTTAGAAATACCAGTGGCATAAAATTTTTGAATTCATAAGCTATAAATCTATAATTCCAATAAATGTGAGTGAATGCTGTATAGATAGAAAAATCTGCCTTAGGAGTCAGTTTATAAGTCAGGTGCACATGTGGGTCCCTCATGTTTCAAAAAGACTCCTGACAGCACAGTCAACTGGCTATATGGTATTTTGAAGATCAAACAGAATTATCAACAGGTAAGCATTCTGAATACAAATTACCATATATACATGAAGTGTCAATGAAAATAAGGAAAAACTTAAGATTGATTCTTTAAGACTAAAAAATCTTAACCATATTACCTTACAATTTCCATTTCACAAATAACTAGCTGTTAAATGTAAATTAGCCACTATACCTATTTGATAACTTTTAGGCATAAGGCTAGGGAATGGAAAAGAGTTGAGTTAAATAATCTAGGTTTTATAATTTATGTAGATTTCTATTTAAAAACATACACGAAAAGCATATGCTACATATGGGAGAATGGATAATTAAGGTTCACTGGGTTAAATAAAAGTATCCTCCGATACACTTATATATAGACTTAGAAGAAAATATTGGCCTGAGATGAAAATTTTTAAAAACTATCCAATACACTTGCTTTAATATATTAGGATAGAGGGGAAAAGGATTCCTTAGATAACTGGATGGCAGCAAGAAACTCAATTTTTTTTTTCTGATGTTATATATGACAAAATAAAACAGGGAATATAAAATTTTTTCATGGTCACTGATCTTATTTTCTAGGCACTGTGAGAACTTATTCTAACACTGCAAGAAAATGTCCCAAAAAGAAAACAAACAATAAAATGATCATGAAAAGAACAAGTTAATGTGAATTCATAAAATCCAAAGAGCTTGACATTCTAACAAATGTTTGGTAACTACTATTTAAACATTCAAAACAAGAACGTCCTATTGAAATTGTTAAAAGGGAAGGAAATACCTTGCCTGTTGTGATCATCCATTTCTGCTATATACTATAGCTTGCTAAAATCTTACCCCAAATTAACAATTCAAAACATTTTTTGTATTTTTCTGTCAGTCTGAATATCTTTGAAGCATGAAAGCCATAGAAACCATGAAATCATGCATTTTTTTCTGAAATATTTCATTTTGAGAACAAAGTCTCTAACAAACTTGGATCCAAAGAAGTGACTTCTATTGAAAATGTCACAGTAGAGTGCTTTACTGGGTTCAAAAAGACCAGGCCAATGATAAAATGGTAGAGTAGTTCAGCTTCCTGTTTCCTTAGAACTGACGTTCACAACCACCTAAGGTTTTTAGCCCTGGGTCAGGAAAGCCTGAGCATATGGTGAAAATAATGCCCAAGTCTGGAGACAATGTCAGCAATACCATTCATCCACTGAAACAGCAGTTAGAGAAGCACTGTTCAATAAAACTTTCTGTGACGAGGGCAATGTTCTGTATGTGCTGTCCAAAATGTGACCATTAATTACTTGAAATGTGTCTAATGTAACTATGTTATTGAATTTTTAATTTTATTTAACATTAAATACATTAAAATAATAAGATGTAGGCTGGGCGTGGTGGCTCACGCCTGTAATCCTAGCACTTGGGAGGCCGAGGCAGGCAGATTGCTCAAGGTCAGAAGTTCGAAACCAGCCTGAGCAAGAGCGAGACCCCGTCTCTACTATAAATAGAAAGAAATTAATTGGCCAACTAATACATATAGAAAAAATTAGCTGGGCATGGTGGTGCATGCCTGTAGTCCCAGCTACTCGGGAGGCTGAGGCAGGAGGATTGCTTGAGCCCAGGAGTTTGAGGCTGCTGTGAGCTAGACTGACGCCATGGCACTCACTCTAGCCTGGACAATAAAGTGAGACTCAGTCTCAAAAAAAAAAAAAAAAAGATGTGACTAGAGGCTACTGTATAGGGTAATGGATCCAGTACAGTGGAGATACCCAGTCTATTAGCAAATTCCTCTGCCCCCACCTCATGCTTTTTTAAAAGTTACTTCATCTGGTTCCTAGTGCTAAAGAGAGTTGTAAGGAAATATCACTGCATATGACACATCATCTTAAGAATACAGCCGACATGTTTGAAAGGACAAAAACGGGGATGATTCACACATCTTCTTTTTCGTTTTGTTTTTTAGGAGTGATGTTCCACAGGGCAGAGTTCATTGAAAAGCAAAAAGTAATTTTAGAATATAAAACAGAGAGCACTACCAGTTCAAATATTTTACATCCTATAATCATGTTGTGCTGTAAGATTAAATTGGTAAGATATACACTGGATTACCTTAGATCTATGAAGGAACAACTACTTTCAAATTCCAGGCCATCACAATCCTCATAAATTTTACTGGCTGTTTCAGGAGAATCACAGTCTACTACTGCATAATAGTATTTCAGTCGTTTGAACTGATAATCTCTCAATTTTTCTCTAGAGGCCCTAAAGTGGAAAAAACTCATTAAGTTTACTTATATATAGAAACATAATAATAAACTGTTTCAGGAAAAATACATTACAAGCTGTCCTTCATTCTAAGCCATTTTTCCTTCATGACTTAGTCTCTATGAACATTAAATACTTAAGTTCAGTTTATTGTTCTGACAAGGTACAGGTATTTGTATTAGAGTTCGATATCTGGAAAAGGAATGTATGAGAATTATATGTGCTTATCTATAATTTTATTTCTTAGAATAGTTATTTTGTTCATTTTGTTACCACATATAGCCTTTTCAAGTAAAACCACTGGAGAGGATCACTGTATTATAAAATATCCTGGGAAACCATTACTTCTAATTACAAAGACATTGCAATATGTTTGCTCCAGATTCAAATGCTGTCAAGTCTAAAAAGTTTAAGTTTAATTTCACTTAACTACAACACATTTTTTAAAGGTCTTCATCTGCCGCCTTCTGCCACCAATTTAACCATTTTTATTAAGTGCACAAATAGCTCCACCTAGTGGCTTAAAACTAAACTATCTTATTTTCTATACTACACCATGATTCTAAAAAACATTATCATTATTTTTCTATTTAATTCTCAAATAAGAAAATTACAAAATATGAAGTTAAAGAATGCTTCAATGCCACTTAAATGAAAAGTGACATCTCATAAAATAGTCAAAACTTATTAATTCACAGCAATGATGTCGAGAACTCTAAGTCAGTTTAATCATATTTTTCAAAAACTACAATAATTATTTTCATGAATACAGAAATATAAATACACACACAAAATGTTGGAAGAATGTGCTACTTCTGACAGACTTTAATCTGTTTTGCCCATATTCAGCACACGGGTAAACTTTAGTCTTAACTATCAAGGTGACCAGAATTCCAAATTAGTGATGTGAATTTATGAGGTTTAGTTTTATATTCTATAGTGACTCAATACCAGTCCTTTTCAGGGGCATCTTCAGGAATACTTAATAACTCTACTGGTCCTTGAACTTGTTCTTCCTTCATCCTCTCCTTTCCAAACTCCGAAGGATATATCTAAACACAAAAAATAAGATCAATGTAATTTATACATTCCTTTTCATAAATATTCTGACTTGTCAAGGTCAGGAATTCTAAGAGTCATAACTTGACTCAACAAAAACAATAGGGATGACTCATTTCCAAATTCACTATAGGAATCTAAAGCATCCTGAGGAATTTCCCTTAAGTCATTTTGGCTAGAGAATAACATATATAGGGCTTGGGAACAAAAACCAGAATATCTCCTCCACACATCACCTGGGACAAGATGGTTCTAGGATCCAAAGGAAAAATTAAGAAAAGCAAAACAAGATTCTAAGCTTAAGGAATTCTAAATGTTAACACATATAAAAAATGGCTGGATTATATGGTTTACATGAAATACACAAAAATAAAGAAATATACAAAACACAAATAATGAAAATAAATTTTATAATAACCAACTTATCTCTAAGTCATACCATTTATCTAATGCTTTCTGTTAAAGAAACAAAGAGCCACTGACAATCTTATATAGATTAGATATAGTCTTTTTTTTTAAGAGATGAGGCCTCACTATGTTTGCCCAGGCTGGAGTACAGTGCTTCAATCATAGCTCACTGTAGCCTCAAACTACTGGGCTCAGGGGATCCCCCTGCCTCAGCCCCCCAAGTCATTGGGACTACAGGCACTCACTACGACATCTGGCTAATTTTTAAAAAAATTTTCAGGGACAGTGATCTTGCTATATTGCCCAAGCTGGTCTGAAACTCCTGGCCTCAAATGATCCTTCTGTCTAGGCCTCTCAAGTTTCAGGGATTACAGATGTGAGCCACCACACTCAACTAGATACAGCCTTGGTATAAGAAAAAGGATTCACTCTTACCAGGATTTGGTATTTTTTTGCCTTGGCCACTTTGAGAGTCAAGAAATATAACTATATTAATTAACACTGTTTTGATACTATCAGGCTAAATACACACTTGTTAGCTAATACATGCTTTTTTGAGTTGTCTGAAAAACGCAACTTATCAACAAAAGGATCCAAGATTTCCTTACTGAGTTGTATATGTATATAATAGTTTTGACATAGAACTTTTAAACATATATGTAGTCACATCTGTTGATTGTTTTTTCTCTTTTGTAAGTCTAGAAATTCATACTACGCATCTCCTGAAACACAAGGTTTAACAAAACACAATTCTTTTTGCTTCTGGGGTTTGACTTTTAAGGTTTTTTTCTCCCTTTGCTTCATCTGGAGTTTATTTAGGGCAATTGTGACATGAACATCTGAACCAAGTTCTTTATCCAATGACTTGTCCATTTGTCTCAACACTCAAGCAGCTTATTTTGATCTAAATTATCATATGAACTCTGTCCCATTTCACCCAAACCTGTCTACTCTTGTAACATCATAGAACATTTAGATATCTTAACTGGTAGGTTAAGTCCTTTTGCATTGGCATGATTTCTCAAAAATTTATTAGTCATTCTTGCTTGTTTATTCTTTTAGAGGATTCCTGGTATTCTCTTTCTTAACTTTCATTTAAACTGGGATTTTCAATGAGAACTGTAGAAGCGACATCTTTAAATATTTAAACAGAATAATATAAGTTGAACATCCCAAATGTGAAATCTGAAATACTCCAAATCCCAAAGTTTTTGAGTACTGACATAAGGCTCAAAGGAAACACTCATTGGAGCATTTAGGATTTGGAATGAACTGATAAATACATAAAATACAAATATTCCAAAATCCAAAAAAATCTGAAATACTTGGGGTCTCAAGTATTTCAGATAAATGACACTCAACCTGTAATAACAATGGAGAGCTATTTCAGCCACTATACTAAATACTCTGTGAGCTGTGTTTTACTTAATCCTTCCAACTGCTAGCATTATTGTTGTATCCCTTTGTCAACTATATGTTTGAGAGATGTAAACATATCTGAGAGATGAATAAATAAAATGTTTAAGATCCCATAGCACTTATGAGAATCATGATTTGAACACAGGTCTGTCATAATGCAAAGCATGGATGCTGGCTTGAAATATGGTGCCTCAAAATTTTGTGTTTCAAATTTATCAATTTCACTTCATATAGGTCATATAAGTGTTTATTAAGGTAATTCCCAATGACTTAATATGGTTCTGTTACTAGTGTAGTTAGGATCTTTTTCTTAATTGGTTAATGCTAGTAATGAGGAATAAAATTTTTAAAAATATTTATCTTATACCCTTGTCCCTTTACTGAGCTTACATTTCTTTGAGTCTTTAAAGTATACACAATCATACAGACCATAAATAATAATAATTTTACCTCTTCCTTTCTAACATTTATAACTATTATATAAATTTCAGGCCAGATTGTACTGGATAATTTACATATTATTTTCCTTAAAAGGAAAACTACAAATTAAAGAAAAAAAAACAGATTTAACTTAAAATGCCAAGAAATATTTACTTTAAAATGAAATCAATTCTCACCTTTACAGAAAATACAACACCTCCTTTAGGTTTAAATGAATTGAACAGAGCCAACAAATCTTTTGCCTTTAATCTATCCCAGTCCATGTTACAAACTGCTAATCGATGTGTAATCTGAGAAATAAAAATAATTAAATATTTTATAATCTGTATAGTTCTCAATACTTGAAAAATAAAGTTTCTAAAAATGTAATGCTCCCCCCCCAAGCCCTGAAATTATCAGTATAGTAGCCATCTAAGTGGTTTCAGTAAGTAAAGGAGAACTTTAAATGAGTTCAAGTAGTAAAAATATAACAGATAAGTATTTTCTCTTACTTAGTTCTTAGTTTTACTACCTAAACCAAGTATTTTCTAAAAATTTCATGTGACTTTTAATTATTTATGTAGAACTTATTTGCTGGGATAGATATCTTCTAACTTATATAAACATATTCCATATCAGGAAGTTTTAATCAAAACCATCAAGATTATTGCCAGTAAGGTTTTTCCGCACTTAATTTAATGACATCAATTTTACCATTCATAAAAGCTACTTGTATTGCGTTCTTCACAAATAATCTTATTTATTCAAAAGGTTACCTCATCAGCCCGAGGAGCATCTTTATCTAATTCTCTCCAAGCATGTTCAAAACCAGATTCTTCTGGAAACAAATCTGCCATATCGTCTTCATCTTCAGAACTAGTTTCTATATTTCCTTTACCCCTTGCAAGATCAGGGCCACTGTCACTTTCATCCTCCTCCTCACTATCCTCATCTTCATCCTCCTCCTCATCTTCATCATCTTCATTTCCACTATCATCAACCGAAGCTTTACCAATACCTGTAATTTCATTTTCAGATTCTTCATCACTTCCTATTTCACTAACACTTTCCGAATCTTCTTCCTCCAGAGCATCTTTTTCAAACATTTTACTGTCCATTGAGTTTTCATAACCATCACTGTCTCTTGCCATTATGTGTGGAGCTATTGTAAGATGTTAAAGGGAGGAGAAATTAAGAAAATGTACACACTGAATTATATTGAATCCAAATTCTTATGACATCAAATCTAGTAAAAATATAATTTCTATTAAACTGAGTAAAGGAAAATATAAATTCGGTAAAATTCATCCTTAACCAAGTTATTTAATGGAAATCTTAACATATACTCAGATTATGCAAGTAGATCCATACATTCATGCAATACTAAAGTGCCTGCTCTGTGCTAGGTAATCAATACACAATCATTGGCAAAAGAGAAGTAATCAATCCCTTCACTGAAACTTCCAGTTAAGTGAAGAGGATAGATGGACAGATACCTGAAGTGTGGGTAGAACCAACATAAATTATTGCAAGCAATATGGTGGGGTAGAAAGATTCAGAAGACATGAGTTATAGTCCTAGGTCTGTGTGTCCTTATGTAAGGACACCTTGTTTCTTGATATATCATCATTTCTCAAGGTTATTGAGAAAATTGAACGAGAAAAAATATGTATGAGGATTCTGTAGAATCAATCCAAAGGATTACATGGCTACGTTGTATTAATCCAGTGTACTAAGGCAAGCGGAATTTAAAAGATGCTAGACTAACAAACTTAGCATCAAAACAACTTTGCTGTTGGTCCCAGTCCAATTTTATTCTCTAATTTCAGTAATCAGATTTCTTTCCCTTCTTCTTATACCACATGAGGTTTACTGCCTCATTCCACTACAAATGGAATGGGATCCCACCTCTGATGCCCCAGTCCCTGCTATCTAGAATCCTGTCTACAGTCTGATACTGCCTACCTTCCCAATGTGATCTCTGCCTTTTCCTGATCCCTGCTATCTAGAATCCTGTCTACAGTCTGATACTGCCTACCTTCCCAATGTGATCTCTGCCTTTTCCTGATGCCTCCCTTCCTTGGATACCAGATTCACAGGTCTGGCTCATCTGAACTGCCAACAATTTTCAGTTATAACACCAACTATCAGCAACAACATTCAAAATTTCCTGCTGCTACACGTGACACAAAATTTTAGTAAGTGTAGTAAACATGTGAACACAAACTAGAACCAGACATTTCTTACCTAGTTCCAATCACTTCTCTTTTACTCATTTCATACCGTCAAGACTTTACCCTATCTAATCAAATGGGACTGCTGATCTCTTCTGAACATGCCCAATCACATCTTTGCTCAAAAAGTTTCTGTGTAGAATGTTCTTGGTTCTCCTGTGTAGAATGCTCTTGGTTCTCAAACTTAATTTTTCCCAACTCCCTATCAAAATAGTACATCCCCTATGAATTTTTCTCTGATTACATATCCTGAGTGACCCCTTTCTCCCAATTTCCATAGCCTCTGCTAAATATCTTTTATGGCACTTACTATTACTCTATTTTGCATTACTGTTCTTTCATCCACTTTAGAGCTATGCTGTCCAATATAGCAATCAATAGACACATGGCAATTGAGCACCTGAGATCTTGCAATTAGTATGAAAATAGAATGTAAAATATACTATTTATTTTTATATTGATTAAATATTGAAATAAATTTTTGATATATTGGGTTAAATAAAATATATTATTAAAATTAATTTCACTTGTTTGTTTTTACTTTTTAATGTTGCTCTTAGACAATGCAAAATTATGTACTGGACGGTGCTATTTTAGACCAGTACCATGGCATAATTTAGTAGGCTGTTATCTGCACAAGTGTATCTACAAAGGGGTAAGTGCTAACATCAAGGCCAATCTCCACCCAGCAAGCCATGCAACCTGCAGGGTGGTTGTGTCTGATCAAGGTCAAAGAATCTGTTGCTTCACTCATAGGCACTGTCCCCTCACCAAACTGTGAACCCTGGGAGCTCTGTGTGTCCAGAGGGCATACCTTTTTCTAATATGCACAGAGGCATCATATAAACTAGCAATAGCCCTGAGATGGGGGACCATGCCTTACTCACATTCTATCTACTACATCCTAGTTACTAAGTACCTGAATTAACTAATGAATGAGTACCCAACTCTACTTACCTTCTTTAGACACACCTCTTCTTATGTGATAACATATAACACTTTAGTTATCTGGTTAAAAACTATAGCTCTCATTAATACCTACCACAAATCAAAATGATTATTTAACTGCAAGATTCAATTTCCACATCTATCTGCAAGCATGACATCAAAAACAAATAATCACTGTATAATATTTTTCTTTCATAACCTTATATTGCCAAAGAAGCATTTGGTCATTTTCATTATACAATGAAACTACTTAATATATGCTTACTTTTTTAAAAGATTGGTATAAAAATAAATCATGCAACATCAAAGAATCTCTATTTCTTTGCAACCAACCTGACTGCATTTCTCTTCTCGTCTTAGAACACTTGATCTTGGGAGATTTCACAATTTCAGAGGTGCTGGAGTCTACTGTTCTCAGTTTTCCTTTGGGAAAAGAGTCTGTATTATGTTGAACAATGTTTTTTTTCTCTCTTGTGCTTTTTGGGGTAAATTCTTCACTATCGTTCTTTTGACTTCTACTTGACTCTATCTTAAATTTACATGAGTTTTTCATTTTCTGAATTCTTTCAGAATTATTTAAATCATTTTTATTTTCAGAATCCTTTTGGATTCTAACTTTCTTGGTTTCTTTCTTTTTCTCCTCAACCAGATTTTTTGAATCTGTTTCTTTTTTAATCTGTTTTTTTTTCTTCTTTATTTTCTTTTGATTAAATTCTTTGCTATCTTCATCGGAGAGATCAGAATCAGAATCTGAAAGGTCATAAAAACGTTTCAAGTCCTCTGTAGTGCTATGGTTGATGGGGCGCCCTCTTTTATCCACAGCATAGTTCAACTTAAACTTTTTGTCATGAAACATGGCTCGAAATCTCTTGTCAATTTTGACTTTTCGATCCTTTTCTGGCATTTCCCAAAATCTTGGGTCCTTTGTAACCCGCCTAAACCGCTGGTCACTCATTATTTCTTGTTTGGATGACATTTTTAAATGTTTTATTGAATAAATGTTCAAAGAAACCAAATGCTAAAAAATAAAACAAATATTACAATAATGATTAATAATATAATTAAATAAAATGTTTTAAAAACACATTGGTTCACAATATATTCTGAATTTCTGTATTTCTATCTGTGTAACTGTATGTATTACAAGTTAAAAGCTAACATAATTAAAAGATTCTCAAGCTTCAGTTGGTCTCACTTGCTTCTTCACATTCTGGTCCCATTCCCTCTGTAAACCCTTAACCTTTGCTACTCTCAACAGCCTTTAGTTCTACAAGGTCAGTCTCCTCAGTACACAGATCAAAATCAATTCAGGTTTAGCTCACAAAGATTCCTGTTTAAATCTGACCACCCTCCAAAGGTAAAGTCTCACTCTGGTTAATAAATATCACTTTCTATAATTTCTTATTCTAGCAGTGACTAAGGCTCAAATGAGCTGATCTACCCAACACATGTTAGGATATACATGTATGTGTATATAAATTAGCATTGCACCCTTGTACACAGTCCCCAATAGTTTAGCATCTTCAGATTTGAATTTTGCAAAGAGCCAAAAGTCACTGATTATTAAGAGCAAAAATGGACTGATTAATCAGGGCAGTATTCCTTTATTTGAAAAACAAGGCGTGACTATAAAGCTGTGTTTTTCCTAAATTTTAAAACAACTTTCTATACACTAACCAGCAAAAAAAAATCAAAGGTTTTACTAACATTTATTTATACACTTTAGATGTATTTAACCATTTAACCCTCCGAACAATCATACCTCATTCAATTAGCAGAGATAACGCATGTCTATTGTAAATGTTTAGAACCAAAACACTCCATAAACGTCAGGGATTCCAAGAGAGAATAAGGCGACACGACCTCACCTCTGACACACGTTCTCATCCCCGTAACCCACTCTCTCCTTCTACCCACCCTCTAAGGTGGTGAATACCACACAGACCCGGAACGACGGTCTTTCTCCCACCATCCACACCTCAGGGGGCAGCTACTGGGCTAAGGTCTCTTGAAAAGCGACCTCGAAGAGACCCAGGAAGACTGAAGAATGAGGCCGGAAAGGCAAGGAGGAAGGGGCGAACCCCTCAGGAATCCGAAAGAGACCTTCTAAGAGACTAGCTCTATCTCCTTCCTCTAAAGCCCTTCTACTCGATCCATCACTACTCACCGTCCGGAATCCCTCTCCAAGCCTCACGTGAGGAGGCCGACACCCACAATCCTTCGCGAGACGCTCCGCCGTAACGGCAAGCGAACTGGTCCAAACTAGTTGCACTTTTCCCTCTGCGAAGATCTCGGCTTTACCTGCCGGAACCGCGCCGGCACATGCGCACGACAAAACGCGCCGGCAATTGATACCGACAGTGGAAATGCTGCGGCCTGCGGGGCTCTGGCGTCTGTTGCGGCGACCTCGGGCGCCGGGGGTCCCCGCGGAGAACCTTTGCCGTAGGGAGGTCGCCTCTGGTGTCTCTGTCCCCTGCGGCACCTCGCCCAGAGCCCTAAATATCTTCGACCGGGATTTGAAGAGGAAACAGAAGAACTGGGCGGCCAGGCAGCCCGAGCCGATGAAGTTTGACTACCTGAGGGAGGAGGTGAGACCGCGCGCGGGACAGCGGGGAGGAGCAGCGCGGAGGCCTTGTCTTCAGGTCCGGGAGCTGTCGCTGGGCTCCGACCGACACCGCCTCGCTGTCTGACCTTGACCGGAGTCCTGCCTCCTCGGCCTCCACTGTAGTCGCGGACAGGCTGGGCTCAGATATTTGTAACGTGCTTTCCATTCATGCATGCGTTCGCTCACTCAGCAAATACTGCTTGAGTTACAGCTATGGCCAGGGCAAAATAAGACTGCTGTCCTCGTGGGCTTTCATTCTTGAGAGAAGCGGGGCGTGCAGTAGACAAAGAACATAATTTCAGGTAAAGAAGTAACATGAGAGAAATAACGTGAAGCGGTATCGTGACTGTGACTGCGATGTGGTCAGGGGAGGCAGCTCAGGCAGACAAGAAGATAAGGGATTAGCCAAGCTAAGGTCTAGGGTGAAAAGCCTCTTCGGCAAAGAGAAGGACCAGTGCAAAGCCCCTGAGGCCCGAAGGACCTCGTGGAGGCCTCCATTGACGCTCGATAGAGTGGGAGAGGACTCAGGAGGGCTTAGGAGGGCTCAGGTCATTAGGGCCTTTCAGGGTAGGACTTCGGATTTTCTTCTCCATCTGCACTGTCCATCCGGCGTGGTAACTGCTGGCCACATGTGGCTATTGAGCACTTGAAATCTGACTAGTCCAATTGAGATGTGTTGTAAGTGTAAAAATACACACTGGATGTCAGTGACTTGGAATGTAAAAGGGAAGTAAAATATTAATATGAAAAATTGATTGCATGCTGGAATGATGTTTTTGATATATTGGATTAAGGAAAATATATTAAAATTAATTTCTGTTATTTCTTTTTATCTTTTTTTCCTATATGACTACTAGAAAATTTTAAATTACACATGTGGCACTCATTATTTTGGGACAGCACTGGTCTAGAAGAATGTGAGGCTCTTATTGTAAGCAATGGAGTGATATGATCTGATTTATGTTTTAGGAAAATCAAATTAAGATCTCTGATTTGACTGTGCTACTCTGAGAGACCTCTTTCTCTCAGCCCAGGTAGACTAGGGACTGAGGGTTTCAAGATACACAGCACCAAGCTAAGGCCTCAGTAAATATTTTTTTCAGGAGTGGAGGAAAATTGGAGCCAAATGTAACAAGCTCTTTCAAGCCAACATAACAAACATATATTGAGCTCCTACTTTGAGCAGAGCTCTGTGCAAGCACTGGCCTGATCAGATGATTGACTGTGCTCTCAGGAAGCCATAGATTAGACAATTGCTCAGAGGCTGGTAATGTCTATTATAGAGATAGAAAGTAAGCTATCAATAAATTTTCTGTATCCTGTTTGTAAGCCATGGTGTACATACTACACTGCTGGTTTCGTCATGAAATGTTCACGATGTCATGTACTTAGATGTGCATTCCTAGCCTCAGCTCTCCAAGAAAATCACCTGGCTTACGACTTGACTGAGGCCTTGCCAATGTTCAGGACTAGAATAAATGAGATAAAGTGTGTGAATTCTTTTTACAGTAAATGAAAGGTATTCATATTAGGAATAATGTACGAAGTGGACTCCTCTGGGGAAAGATATTTGTGCCTCCTTTACCCTCTTCCCCCCAAAAGTAAATATGTCTATGTCTGGAACTTTCAAGTCCTAATAGCAATTCTGGCATATTTAGGAGGGAATGCGTAGAATGCAGGGAATATTAGACTCCTATGTCTTTATTCCTGCTAGTTGAAGCTAGCCTAGCAGAAAGTGGTGCTATCTACCTTATGACTTCTTTCAAATTGGAGTGGAATTGAGACAGTGGGAGGTATACTTTATTTAGTTTTGGCTATTTCTATCTTGTAAATATTGCTTCAAAAAGTTATTTACTTATTTTGAAGTTCCACAAAATTTGTTAGTCATCAAATGATACTTTTTATTAAGTGATCACTTACATATTGATCTGTAATAAACCCCAGCTAATTTTTTCACTTTCATATACCTCATTCTCATGTCTGTGGACAATAATGTACCTGTTGTTTTCCTGTTGCTTTTCATCCTTGTTGTCTTATATCGTATGGAATGTAAAGGCCAAAGAGATGGGTGTGTGTATATATTTTTCAAGAATGTTTAGTCTTGATTTCATTAAATTGACTTCTGAAGTAATTTGTTTCGTTTGTTTCCTGGGTATATTTTAATTTATGTTCCTATTCAGGATTTGAAAAGAAAGTTGCTGTGGTGAAATAGAAAAAGAGGTAAAGGGAAGTACTTACGTGGAAATATAAGTAACCTAAGGATTGTTGAATACTCTTTAACCTAATCTTGACTTGTGTGTCCTTTTATAATACTTCAGGTTGGAAGTCGGATCGCCGACCGTGTGTATGACATAGCCAGGTAAGTAGTGATTACCATAATAAAATAGAATCTACTTTTGAGGGGAAACTCAAAAGATTAAATGCTAAGAGCTTGATATCTATAATGGCAGAACCTCGAGGAATTTATTACCAGGATTGGTGATTTGAATTACTTTGTAGGTCTCTCCTTTTTTGTTGTCTGGGAGAGCAACTCACTCTCTCTTTCTCTTTTTTTTTTTTGCCTTAAAAAAAAAAAAGTATGGATGTGGAAGCACAAACTCACAGCTATCTCCATGCCTGAATGACTGACCTACTGGATTTGGCCAAAAGCCAGTAATGGAAAGATTGCTCCAAAAATGGAGATAAAGAATTGTCTACATGTGAATTTTTAAGATCTACTAAACCTAGGTTTAAAAGTTTAACTGTTTTACAATTAAAGTGAAGGAGAGAAGTCTACCTCGCTTTGTTCTTCCATCAGGTTATATGAGACTTTGGCATTGTTAATGATAATAAGGGTTCTATGATAATTATTAATATAATTACAGGCCAACTTGAGAAACACATCATCAAGAATTATTGAAACCTTGAAGGATTCATTGCTGTATATATTAGGCATAATCAAAGCTTAAAAGATGTGAGAACCACAGTCAAGTAATAGTTTTGCAATAGAATTACTCTGTGATATTAGCAAATTACTCTTTATGTGCTCTTTTATTTAAAAGATATCCATTAAATTAGACCAAGATGTGAATAATTTATTACATTTGTCTATAAAAAAGGGAATTTATAAAATCACAAACTTTTTTTTTTTCTTTATTTTATTTTATTTTTTTATTTTTTATTTTTTTTTTCTAGAGTGAGTGCCATGGCGTCAGCCTAGCTCACAGCAACCTCAAACTCCTGGCTCAAGCAATCCTCCTGCCTCAGCCTCCCAAGTAGCTGGGACTACAGGCATTCGCCAGCCATGCCGGCTAATTTTGTATATATGTTAGTTGGCAATTATTTCTTTCTATTTATAGTAGAGACGGGCTCGCTCTTGCTCAGGCTGGTTTCGAACTCCTGACCTCGAGCAATCCGCCCGCCTCGGCTCCCAGATCTAGGATTACAGGCTGTGACCACCGCGCCCGGCCGGGATCCACCAATATATTGTCAGATGACCACAGGCCTTAGAAACATTGTATATAATGGGATTCCAGAGAGCTAGGATTACAGGCGTGAGCCACCGCGCCCGGCCCACAAACTTTTTAAATTGTATTTTAGATGTATCTTTACTACTTAAAAGAGTCTTGGGATGAATGAATTTTGTAAGGTAAAAAAAAGTAGTACTTCACAGTTGCAAATAGGCACCCACATTTTATTTGTTTCATTAGTTCCATTATTTTATTTTATTTTTTATTATTTTATTTTATTTTTATTTATTTTTTTTTGAGACAGTGTCTCGATTTGTTGCCCAGGCTAGAGTGAGTGCTGTGGCATCAGCCTAGCTTACAGCAACCTCAAACTCCTGGGCTCAAGCAGTCCTGCCTCAGCCTCCCGAGTAGCTGGGACTATAGGCATGCACCACCATGCCTGGCTAATTTTTTCTATATATATTAGTTGGCCAATTAATTTCTTTCTATTTATAGTAGAGACAGGGTCTCGCTCTTGCTCAGGCTGGTGTTTTGAACTCCTGACCTCAAGCAGTCTGCCCGCCTCAGCCTCCCAGAGTGCTAGGTTTACAGGCATGAGCCACTGCCCAGCCTCATTATTTTAAAGATCTGAAAAATAGCTACTGTAATTATTCACCTGGATTATAGGTTGTTTATAATTTAATAAATGAAATACTGAATTATGCAAATCAGTTTGGATTTTACCATCTTTTTATTATGTGTCATAGTACTGAGCAAAACACAGTCAAGTCTATGTAGAGACTTATGATTGTAGCTAAAAGCATATCTTAACATTAACTCTTTGGAATTAAATTAGTAAAATACTAGTTTAAGTATCCTTGCATTAACATGAAAGTGTAGTTTGTATTGTTAACATTGATCATTTGTTGATTTTTAAAAATGAATCCCACACATTATTAAGCATCTTATTTGTGGGATCAAAGGCTCACTTACTACTCTTATAATCAGTGGTAATAATAACTAGTAACTAACTTGTTGAATATTTACACTGTGCTAAATACTTTACATGTACCATTTCATGTACTTCTCTTACCAACCCTGAGGCAGGCAACAACATTAACATTTTACAGTTGGGGAAACTGAGATCCACCAAGATTAAGTCACTTGTCTATAATCACAAGGTCAGCAAATTGCAAGCCCAGAATTTTAACTTATGTCTTTCTTATTCTAAAGCCTGTGTACTTAACTGTGTCGTATTGCTGTGTTCATCATCAAGATATAGGGCAATAGATAATAAATGGTTATCTGTCAACAAGGGTTCTCCATCCTTGTACTGGTATTCTATAATTTTGACATAGAATTTTAACAGAAATTGAAAAGAGACTGTTCGAGTTTTTCAGGAAAAATATTAGTACATAAAATTTTAAGTTTTTTTATCATAAATTTTTCTTAAAGCTGTGGCCTACAGTTAGATGTCTGTACTGATTTAGAATAACTTGATATATTTAGAGGAGTCACCATAGCATAGAGGATAATAGTTCTGGTTCAGGATTCAAACCAAATAAAATCAAGTTTTGACTGCTGCTTATTAGTTGAAGTACTTGGGTTGACTTACTTAGCTTCAGACACTTAGTATGGTACTTGCACATGGTAAGCTTTCAGTAAAAGGAGCTATGATTTAGTTTTTTTTTTTTAAGTTTAACATATTAGCACTTAATGGTGTTTCACATGATGATTTCTAAGTGTTCTGCTGCTTCAACAAATTTGAGAAATAAGGATAATTATTAAGTTCTTGATAAGTATGTCAATTATTTTCATATTAATTTACATAAACTTCTTTTCCATCTTTACCTAAATTAAAATACCCATATTAAATCCATTCTTCACATCCACATCATGGAGCTACCTTATAGAAAGCCAGTCCATTATGAGGTCCCATGAATGGCTAGATCAGACAGACTTGCTCTATGCAATGTACTCTCTGGTAAATATAGCTTGTAAGATGAGGCAGAAAAGGCAGATAATGTGACTGCCTTAAGTTGTTTTTACTAAAGTGTTTTTACTTAAAAAAAATTAGTTCTTAATTTATGGACTGTATTATTATAGACAGAGCATAATTTCTGTGTCTGTTTTTTAGAGATTTCTCCCTTGGCTTGGACCTTGGTTGTGGAAGAGGTTACATAGCGCAACATTTGAATAAGGTATATTTATTTGATTACTTTATTTAATCTGAAAAATAAAATTGGCTAATTTTAAAGAAAGACTTTCTTAATTTAATTTTATCATATTTAGATTTTAATTATATCAGAATTGCTAATATTTTTTTAAGTGGTAGAACCAGAGGTGGTTTTCTCCCTTTTTAAGTATTTTTTTCTTAAAGTGTTTTTTTTTTTTTTTTGAGACAGAGTCTCACTTTGTTGCCCAGGCTAGAGTGAGTGCCGTGGCATTAGCCTGGCTCACAGCAACCTCAGTCTCCGGGGCTCAGCGATCCTACTGCCTCAGCCTCCCGAGTAGCTGGGACTACAGGCATGCGCCACCATACCTGGCTAATTTTTTTTGTATATATATTTTTAGTTGGTCAATTAAGTTATTTCTATTTTTGGTAGAGACGGGGTCTCGCTCAGGCTGGTTTCGAACTCCTGACCTTGAGCAATCCGCCCTCCTCGGCCTCCCAAAGTGCTAGGATTACAGGCGTGAGCCACCACACTCGGCTCTTAAAGTGTTTTTTTCCTCTGAATCCATTTTATACAGTTTTTCTACTGATACATAATTTCTCTAAATCTATACGTGATATATTTCTCTTTGTACCCACTTTGTTCAGACATTTTTGATAATTCACAATAAAAATCAGATTGAAATTCAGACAGAAAATATGATTAAGCTAATTTTTTAGCTAGAAAAATATTAATTTCATCAACTGGTTATAAATTTTTGTGTGATTAAATGTAAGTAGCCTTTACTAATGATCATACCCTTTTATTTTACACTTTCTAATTCAGACCATAAAGACATTCATTTGTTCTTTTAACTCCAATGTATAGGACACTGTGCTGGACATAGATATTAAAGTGGGATTTCTATATAAAATCTGCTTAAATAAAAACATACATTTGGGCCAGGGTAGGGAAAGGGGTGGGACTCTCAAAACACTACTATTGATAAAATAGTAAGTGCTACAGAGGCTCTCCAAACACTATTGATAAAATAGTAAATGCTACTGAAATGGTATAGTCATTAAGGTGCAACATGAGTAAAGGGAAAGGAAAAATCAGTAGCAGTTCATGTGCCAAAGCTTTCTCAGAGGGTCCAGAGTCTGACCTGGAATTTTAAAGACTGTCTGTTGGTGGTTCATAGCAGTGAGAGTCAGGGCATGGCAGGAGGCGAGGCACAGAGATGGAATGCTGTAAGATGTGATATAGTGATGTTGTAGGAAGATTAATTTGGGGCTGATATGTAAGAATGATTGAAAAGAGAGAGGATAGAGAAATAGAACAATTAGGAGGCTGTGTTAAAGGTGGTGCAGGCATGAGAAATAAAGGCCTGCCACCCATGTTGAGGCAGCAGATACAGATGATGGGATGTATGAGAGAGACCTCGTAGAATCAACAAAACTTTATGACTGATTGGATATGGTGGGCAGGGCAAATCCATTCTTTTTTGTTGTGCAGGCCAAAACACATATTTATTTATTCCTCTTGAGTCCCTCCTATATCGAATCCATCAACAAATCTTATTTGGATTTCAAAATATATCCATAACTCTACCACTTCTTACAGCCTTCACCATTACTGTATTGTCCAAGCTACTGTCACTTCTTGTCTAGATTATTGCAGTAGCCTGTTAGTCTCCCTGTTTCTACCTTTGTCCCTGACAGTTTTCAGGACAAAGTAATTCTTTTGAAACACAAATCAATTTGTCAGTTCTTTGCTCAGAACTGTTGGCTTCTCATCTAACTTAGTAACAATTCAGAGTCCTAATCCATAAGGCCCTCAGTGGTCTTGTTCTTCATCATGTCTCTGACCTTCCTTCCTCTCACTCCCTACTTTTCAGCAACCCTGGCCTCTTTACTGTCTCTCAGATAGGCCAGGGCTTTGCAGTGTACTTGCTCTCTGAGCTTTTTCCCAAGGTATCTGTGTGGTTTGCTTCCTCCCTTCTTTCAGGTCTTTGCTCAAATGACCACTCATCAAAGATCCCCTCCCTGACTGCTTTAGAAAATAGTGCCCCTACTCTTTGCTGGCTAGTTGCTTCATTTGTTTCCGTAACACTTATTAGCCCTCAGTGTATGTTTATTTGGCATCTGTACTCTCTTACTGGACTTGCTCACTTTTGTTCACTACTAAATCCTAGTACCTAGAACATACAGTGAAGATTTATTAAATGACTGTTGCATGAATAAATGCAAGATAATGTTAAAGTTATGCCTTTAGTGACTGGAAAAAGTCAGGGGATATGGTGGGGCAAGGAGCAAGGGATCCTTCCTATCTTAGATGTATTGAGTTAGAGGTGACAGTGGCATATATTATTGTTAATATCTAGCAGGTAGTTGGAAATGTGGAACTGGAATTGGGGTATTGAGGTTAAGAGTGTCGACTTGAAATCAGATGGGGGTTCAAAATTCAGCTCTGGTTTCTACATACCCTTGGACCAGTTACCCAGTCTTTCCAGGCCTCAGTTGCTGTAAAATATGAGCAGTAATGCCATCTTAAAAGGTTGGTAAGAGGATTAAGGGAGACAAGGTAAGTCTGACAAAGGGGAGGCTATTGTTCTTATTTGGAAGTCTCTTTCAGAGGTACAACTGAAACCATAGAAATAGGTAAGCTTTCTGGGGCAAAAATGTAGAAGAGAAACTTCCACAGTTGTACTTAGGGGTGAGAAAATGAGGAGGAGCCAAGGATACTGGGAACAGTAAGAAAGATGGAAAGGGTCTTTTAGTAAGGTATGTTTTGATTGTAAGAAGCAGAAATCTACCAAAGCCAGTTTAAATATAGGGACATTTGTTACATAGAGGCTCCTATGTAACTCAGAGAAATAGAGCCAGACCTCACAAGGGACGGAGAATTCAAAACATCAGAACAAAAAGTCTCTTGTGTTCTTTCATGTACCCTCTGGTGTCACATGAATGCTTAATGGTTTCTTCATTCTTTTTTCTCCCTGTAGACTATCCCTAGTGTTCACCAGTGCATATGCCCCAGTATGAATACCCTATACCGAGTGGTGAGCTGAAGTTAGGTTATACAGCTCATGAGACCTGATTGTTAACATCTCTTCCCAGCTCTGTGTTCTGTGACATTGTGTTGCTAGTTTGAAATCAGCCATGGTGGGAGTATTGTAGCGAACCTGTGGCCTTAAGGCCACAGTTCTGTAAAGTTTGGATTCAGTCAAAAGGCTGCACTTAAGGACTTAGAGGGCCACAGGTTCCCCATCCCTGATTTATGCCATGGAAGTTGGCAAATGCTATAAAACAGTCCCCTGCCAAGAGCCAGTTATTAAATATTTACCAGCACACCATTTCCTGCACCCCAAAGTCTACATACTATTCCAGCTCCAGGGACCCCTGCCTCTATCTCTGAGTTTCCTAATTCAAATTTTCAAGTGAGAGGCAGGGACAAATAATTGGATTGGCTGAATTCTTCATCCCTTGAGGGGGTGTGCTGGAGCTGGCTTGTGAGAGCTAATTGTGTACATCTCTTCCCAGCTCTACATTTAGCAACATGATGTTGATAGCATGAAATACATCATTGTTGGAGTGTTTACACCATAGAAATTGGCAAATGGTACAACTCAGGACACTTTTCTTTCTTTCTTCTTTTCTTCCTTTCTTTCCTTCTTGTCTGTACTTAAATATTTGCCATACAACAGGTGCCCTCAGGTAATCAATGACCAGGTAATGGTAGGGTATACCATTTCCAGGGTGTGGACACTGAATTTCTTTAGGTAGTGAGTGTGGTAAAGTGAAAAGGATTGTTTCTCTAACAGAGGAGGGGAGCCAGAGTAGAAAGTATTGAAGAAGCTATTAGGATACCATCAATGGTGCTGTGCTTCAAAGAGGACAGGGAAACAGGACTGAGACAGACTGCTGTGTTTATTGACTAGGCTGCTAGTGATCTTTAGAGATAGTGTTAGGATAGCAGTGAAAGGGAAGATAGATTACCAAGAATGTGGAGAAAGACTTTAGTAAGCAGTAAAGAAAGTTGCGTATTACAAACCAAACAACTGTAAGGAGTTTAGAGGTGAGAAGATTTTTCAAAATTGGGAAGCTTGTGCCTGTTGTAAGGTGAGGGAAAGAGACACAGAAGATAGAGATTGAAGATTGATAGAGATGGAGATGGAGCAGGATCCTGGAGAAAAGAGAGTCAAAGGGGAAGTGTTTTTCTGGGACAGAAATAGCATAGTCCCCTTTCCTCTTGGAAGGAAGAGAGGGTAGGTGAAATGGGAAAATGTAACGGCTTAAGCCCCACCCCCAAGTCTCTGTGTATGTCTTTCTTTATAAACTCTTTGAATGAATCTAAAAGGCAAAAAACCCATTCCAGGTCCTTTGTGGCATAAGAGTGAGGAAACTAGTTCTCAGAATATTATGCCAGGGAAAAGTTAACACAGAGGAGTAGTTAACCCAGTGGGTAAACTCAGGGTGTTGATTCTTCACACTTGTATTCTCTACTATATTTAATATAGTTAAAAATATCAAATAAAGGGTTAGCTACATGTATTTAAATCTGTGTAACTTAATATATGTTATTAAAGGTGTTTGTGTACCATTCTGGTGTTATGTAGAAAAATACCCTTGTAAAGGTGAAAATTAATCTGTATTAATACTTTCTCCTTTAGAAATTTCAACAATTATTGTATTTGTTACTGGGCTTATTTGTTTGTTTTTGTGTCATTTGATCAGCTTTAATTGTTCCATTGCAGGAAACTGTTGGAAAATTTTTCCAAACCGACATTGCAGAAAATGCTTTGGTAGGTAACTTTTTAACACTGTTGGTTTTTGATCTACTGGTATGATTTTTACTTCTTTATTTCTTGATTTTTATTTCCTTCAAAATGAAAATAGCAGCCAGGTATGGTGGCTCATGCCTATAATCCCAGCATTTTGGGATGCCGAGGCAGGAGGATCAGTTGAAGCCAGGAGGAGTTCGAGAGCAGCCTGTGTAACATAGTGAGACTCTGTCTCTATAAAAAAATAAAAAAATAAATTATTAAAATTAAAAAAAATGAAAATAGCTTTATTTTTTATTACAAATATAACACATATGAAGAAGAATTATACAATACAGGAAATACAAAAGAGAAAGGAAAAATCACCCCTAGTCCCACCACTGAGGCAGCAACCAATGGTGACATTTGGTCTCCACCTTTGCAGACTTATACCTGTCTCCCCTACACAATTTTATATGAACGGCATTATGCTAACATTTCATATTTCTCAGAGAATGTCATTTTCTTATGTCAATGAATACTGTTTATGTGTGTACCATCTATTTAGATGGTTACATGGTATTCTAATACATGAATAGTCTATGGTTTATTTAGCTAACTTTCTGTTGAAGGGCAGCTATGTTTCTAGTTTCTCAATAACAAACATCACAATGAACATAGTTATGCAAAACAACTTGGCTATTGGTATTTCTTAACTTGTGAATTTTTAAATAATTTTGTGACGCACCTGTATCTCATACTTTATCTACTTATAGCCATTTTGTGTTCTTATTCTAGGTGATTTGTAAGAGCTTGTTTTTTAGGACTATTAATCCTTCATCATATATGTTGTAAATAATTTCTCCCGTTGTTTACTTTGTTTATTGCTTTTTAAATGTTTATTAGTTTATCATCAGATATATCAATCTTTTCCTCCTTTACATTTTCTGGCTTTTCAGTCAGGTCTGTTTAGGCTTTTTTGTCTATAAAAATGTTCACTGATATTTTCCTCTAATTCTTCAATTATTCCACTGAAACGTCCAGCCTTGTGAGATTTGTTTGGATGTGAGATGGGTATCCTGTTTATGTTTTTCCAACTAGCTAGTCCATTTTTCTGGGTGATCTTAAGAGTCATTTAAAAAATGTTTTTTTAGTGCCTTCTTTGTGCCACCTCTTGGGGGAGGAGTAGAAACTGCCAAGTAAATGTAACATTAACTTCAGTTTAACAATGACCGTGTTAGTAATTGAGATTCTGTGTGAATGTGATTTTGATCTTTTATTTTTTACCATTAGAAAAATTCCTTAAAAACAGAAATTCCTACTGTCAGTGTTTTAGCTGATGAAGAGTTCCTTCCCTTCCAAGAAAATACATTTGATCTGGTGGTTAGCAGTTTAAGGTTGGTAATCCATTTGTACTTTTAAAAAATATATATGCTATAAATAGATAATTTATGCCATAAAGTTTTACTATTACATGATAAAGAAAATAGATAATGGAATAAATTCTTAATAACTTTTTAAAAATCATAAACCAGTCATCTTGGTTTATAAACCATAAGATTTCTATGGTGAAGAGTTATTCTATGCTCCCTGGTGTAAATAATATGATTTAGTACCTCATTTTTCCCCCCAACTTTCTACAACTTGTTAAAATTTCATCTGAGATAGAAGAGGTTTCATCCCTTATGCAACTTAATATTTTGGAATTGCTATTGATGGGGGCAAGAGTAAAAGAGTATACTGGCTCTAGTATTCAAATGTTAGATTGCCCTTATCATAACTCATTCAAGCAAATATGGGAAAGCTAGTATTTCCTTCAACTTTAATTTATTTCTGTGAACAGAAATATAATCCTCAAGGTTACTTTTTTCTCTTTATGTTTTCTACCGTGTTCTTCTACATTTATTACACAAATATGTATTGTAAATATTTATTGAATAGGTTACAATATACAATGCACTGAGCTAGATGCTTTGGGGGAATATAAAAATGAATTCAGACAGGAATCCTGTCCTCAAAGAACTCAGAGTCTAACAGAAAAAACATATTCTCTGTGGTATTTCTCTGTAGTATCTTATTTCTCCTGTCTTCTTACAGTCAAAAAGATTTTCTTTCAAAGATTGAACACGGATGCTCTCCATCTCCAATTTAATCCTTTTGACAGCTGTTTTTAGAGCAAACAATCATCATGGTTTTCGCAGGACTTTGTCACTTTGGGCACTAAAAATCCAATGTCCTGGGAAACTCCTCCATCCCAAGCAAACTGGGACAGCTGGTCACCCTTGATGTTTTCTTCAGCGAGTTTGTAATTTCTTTCCTGCTTTTTTAGATGTGCTGAACAAATTTAGAAAATACTTACATTCTGTCACGAAATGAAAAATGTACAGGGCCTTGGTCTAGGGGAAAGAGCCCTGGGTAGGGAGTAAGGACTCAAGTTTTAACATTAGCTTATTTGCTTGATATTTGCAGGTAACTAATTCCGTTCTTTCAATTTCCCTATAAGTATAATAGAACTTATAATAGAGCTTACTTCCTTAGTTTTTTAGGTGTCTAGTAATTGTCGGAAAGCATTAGGAAAGGTAAATGTGAGCATATGGTTTGAAAATGGGTAGTCAGTTCTGTCCTGGAACTCAGCATAAGAGGGTGCCAACTCTTCCAGGAAAGTGTGATTGTACTCTACAGAGACGGAGAATATATTTTTTGCTGTCACTAAACTATACTTTGGGAGACAGTAAATAGACTCAAAAGAAAAGTAAAGAGCTTTATTAAATACATAGAGCTCTGTTTTTTTTATTTTTTTATCACCTTAAAAATGTGGGGCATACTACACACCTGTTAGAATGGCCAAAATCCAGAGCACTGACAACCCCAAATGGTGGCAAGGATGCGGAGCAATGAGAACTGTCATTCATTGCTGGTGAGAATGCAAAATGGCACAGACACTTTGGAAGATAGTTTGGCAGTTTCCTAAAAAACCAAACATACTTTTACTATATTATTCAGCAATCATGCACCAGAAGGAGATGAAAACGTGTTCACACAAAAACCTGCGCATGAATGTTTATAGCGGCTTTATTCATGATTGCCAAAGCTTGGAAGCAACCAAGATGTCCTTCAAGTAGGTGAATGGATAAACTATGGTGTTTCTGAACAGTGGAATATTATTCAGTGCTAAAAGGAAATACGCTATCAAGGCATGAAAAGATACGGAGGAAACTTAAATGTATACCAAATGAAAGAAGCTAACGTGAAAAAGCTACACACTGCATGATTTCAACCCTGTGACATTCTGAAAAAGACAAAATTCTGGAGACAGTAAAGATCAATGATTTGCCAGGATTGGGGTACGTACAGAGGGTTTTTAGGGCAGTATAGCTACTCTGTATGATACTACTATAATAGTGGGTACATAGTATACAGTTGTCCATACCTGTAGAATATACAACACCAAGAGTGAACCCCTGTGTAAACTGGATTTGGGATGATAATGATGTGTTAGTGTAGCTTCATCAGTTGTACAAATGTACCACTCTGGTGAGGGATGTCGGTAATGGGAGAGGCTGTGCATGTGTGGGGAAAACGATATGTGGGAAATCTCTGTACCTTCCTTTCAATTTTGCTGTGAACCTAACACTGCTCTAAAAAATAATAATAATACAGTTTTTAAAATGAAAAAAGTAAGATGTTATTTATCAGAAAACTCACAGAATTAAGCTTTTGGTGAATAACATCATTTGCCTTGGGAAAATTTTAGGTCTGTGGATGAATTTCATTTTTTTCTAGGAAAGTATGACTAAGAATACTGTATTTCTCTAGCTTAATTATTTGATTTAATTGATGAGTTTCTTTGAACATGTTATCAAGTGCTTATTTTTACTACTCTCTACCAATAAGGTGTCATAATGGCACTGTTTAGATAAAATGCCTGAATAGAAATGACTTTTACATTATTCAGTGATGAAGAATGATCACTGATAATAAAACATAATAAAATACAGATAATTATATCAGATATTTTTGTTTAAGCAAAGTAATATATTGACATGGGAAATTTTCTAGTGTGACAGAAAAGGTTTTCCCCCTACAAATATTTATCATTTTAAAACTTTTCATGAAAACACTCAGTGAATTTTGATATGTGATTTCAAACTTCAAAATTAACACCTTTTTTGAGGCTCATCATTATTGATAATAATACTAATTATACTAATTAAGCTAAAATAAATATGTGTTTTCATATTTTAGTTTGCACTGGGTAAATGACCTTCCTAGAGCACTTGAACAGGTAAGAAAACTTGTATTAATTTGACTATCCTATGGGCTTTTTTTATTATTAGGAACTTAAAGATGTTTCTGTTTTTACAAACTATTTTCTTATGGGTCTGACAATTGGAGAATGGAATCAAATCAAGTAATATCTTCTGTGGGCCAGGTGTACCTGGTGCCATTTGGCATATTAAGAAGTACATTAATATGTTAAGTACATTCGCTGACTCTCCTCTCCTTATTAAGATATCTAATATAAATTTTAAACATATGAAAAGCTTAGTAACTGTGCAAAATAACATTGATATTGTAAGATATTTTCTGTGTAGATTTCTTCTTTCCTGTAATTGCCTATAAACTTTTTGTGGGTAGAAACCTATTTATTTATACTTGTATCTTCTCCATCCCATATACTCAGAAGATGCTAGGTAAATTTTTGTTGATTGACAGTTATCAGTGAACATGTGACAGGTAGATAAAAAGCATGTGTTCAAAGAAGGGAAAGAGATCACTATGACTTGGAGTGACCTAGAAAAGCTTCAAGAGGGAAGTACTTGAACAGGGCCTTAGAGAGTAGGTAAGATTTGGATTGGGAAGGCATTCCAGGAAGGCAGAATCACAAGATAAGTGAGGAGGTACAAGAGCCTCATTAGCTTGAAAGAAGAGAGAAAACCTGTTGGGAGGATTCGTATAGTGCTAGAAGATGAGGTATACAGTATTGGAAACAGATTTAGGAGGATTTGGGTGCTAGGTTAAGAAATTTCGAGTTTATTTGCAATTCAGAGCCACTGGGAAACTTTGAAGAGGAAAGTGACATGATTAAAAAGCTGGTGGGCAGGATAATAGCTGCCATATCTAAGCAGTTTTCTAGTTACCGTGCTCTATTTTATATGTGTGTTAAATAAACCTGCAAGATATATATATTGTGCTGATTAGAAAACTGATGATCAGAAAACTGATTAGAAAACTGCTGATGCCTGGAGAAGTTGGTTAAATTGAAGGGAGACTATTTCAGGGGTCTAGTTATGAGATATACTACACCTAGGTGGCAATGCCAGGAGATAAAAGGAAAGTAGAGGTATTTAGGACTCTGCAAAGGAAGAATTAATAGTTTGGTGGCTGGTTAGATCTGAAGATTAAAGAGAGGGAGTAGTCAAAGCTCACTTTAAAATTTTGAGTCGGGATGCCTGGGGAGTAATTAGTAGGGGAAAGAATGATAATGATCAGATAAAGGGAGTAGAAAATGGTAATTAACAGAAATATGGCAGTAGGAAAGGGTAGTTTTTGTTTGTTTGTTTGTTTGTTTTTTAGGTTTTTTTGAGACAAAGTCTCACTCTGTAGTCCAGGCTAGAGTGCTGTGGCGTCAGCCTAGCTTATAGCAACCTCAAACTTCTACACTCAAGTGATCTCCTGCCTCAGCCTCCCCAGCAGCTGCTATTACGGTGCAAGCCACCACGCCAGCTAATTTTTTCCATTTTTAGTTGCCTGGCTAATTTGGGCTTTTTTCTATTTTTAATAAAGACAGGGTCTTGCTCTTGCTCAGGCTGGTCTCAAACTCCTGAGCTCAAGCAATCCTCCTGCTTACAGACTCCCAGAGTGCTAGAATTACAGGCAGGGCAGTTGATTTGAAAGTAGGTGTTTTGCTCATGGGGGTCTTGGATAGTGGGTGTGGTGATTTTGCCCAGAGACAAATATCCAGGGGATAGGCCATTGAAGATGAGTTTAGAGTTCTGGGAAGATAGCCAGGCTGAAGACAGATTGGAAAATGGACCTTGTGAAATCATGGGAGTCAATAAGCTAGAGCTTGGTGACGAGAAGAAGGTAACACTAAAGGGGCAGAAAGGAAGAAACCATAGTTTTTACAGATGGTTGGCTTAATATTGCTTTTAATTGCTTCATAATATATTAAATATACATTTAAGACAATGCTTTGATAGAAGAACCTACTGTGATTTGGGTTCTGGTTTACTTCAGAATCCATCCTTTCCTATATTGGTGCTCATTGGTGAGAGTAGTCAGAGTCAAAAGTAGTTATGGATTGTAGTCTAAGAGTCATGAACAAAATTTCTGATTCTGGAATTGACTCTGACCATGGTTTTGCTTAAGTTATCAATTAAAACTTGTTTTTGTTTTAAAGCTGGAAAATAAATTACTTCTTTTTAAAGAAAACTAATATGTTACTAGGTTAATGCTGTGAATCATAATGATTTCTTTATAGATTAGCTTTTTCTGCGTAATAAGCCACCCCAATTTAGTGGCTTAAAATAAGGACAATTTAGCTCATGATTTTGTGGGCTGACAGTTTGGACCGGCTTTGGTCAGGAAATCTTCTGGGGCTGGCTTGGCTCACCAGTGTGTCTGATCAGCTGCCAGATTGTCTGGGAGCTGGCTGGCCTAGGATGGGCTCAGTAGGCACAGCTGTCTTGTCTCTGCTCCACATCTCTCATCCTCTACCAGACTAGCTCAGGCTTGTCTACAACATGGTGGCCAGGCAGGGCTCCAAGAGAGCAGGTGAAAGCATGCAAAACCATTTGAGACCTAGACTTGAAAGTTGCACACTGTCACTTTCACTACATTCTTTTGGCCAAAGCAAGCCACAAGGGCAGTCCACATTCAAGGAGAGAGGAAATAGACTTCATCTGTTGATGGAAGTTGTTAGAAAATGACATTTTAAATGACATTCCATATAGGGAGGTTGTGATTTGTGTGTGTGTGTGTGTGTGTGTGTGTGTGCAATCTACCATGCTTAAAAGTTTTTGGTTTTTTTTCCTTTCAGTGTTTTTCTGATTATAAAAGTGCCCAGGTACAGTGGCTCACACCTGTAATCCCATCACTTTGGGAGGCCAAGGTGGGAGGATCACTCCTGGAGGCCAGGAGTTTGAGACCAGCCTGGGTAACATAGTGATACCCTGTATCTCTCTCTAAAAAGAAGAAGAAAAATTAGCCATGCCTGGTGGCACACGCCTATAGTCCAGCTACGTGGGCAGCTAAGGGAGGAGGATCCCTTGAGGCTAGGAGTTTGAGTCTGCAATGAGCTATGATTGTGCCACTGCACTCCAGTCTGGGCGACACAGTGTGACCTTGTCTCTTTAAAAAAAAAAACTAAGTTTTGTCTATTAGAATATTTGAAAGTATACAATGTATTTTATAGATATTAATATTATTAGTGAATGTATAGTTCTATCTTTGTAACTACATTATGCAGCAATGACCTTTTGACAGTTGGTTGCCTTAGATGTTATTTACTAAATTATCTGATTATTAGTTTGGCAAAATAAGAATGTAGTCATAAAATGTTAATGTAGACACTATGTATTTATTCTTTTTAACATTTATATGTTTACATTTTTGAATGGTTTTGTTGTCTTATATTTATTACAGATTCATTATGTTTTAAAACCAGATGGAGTATTTATTGGCGCAATGTTTGGAGGCGACACACTCTATGAGCTTCGGTGTTCCTTACAGTTAGCAGAAACAGAAAGGGAAGGAGGATTTTCTCCACACGTTTCTCCTTTCACTGCTATCAATGACCTCGGACATCTACTTGGGAGAGCTGGCTTTAATACTCTGACTGTGGTAACTATCTAGAGAATCAAGTAACCCATTAATTACACAGTTCAGAAACAACTTCTTTTCATTGTAAAGATAGAAAACTGTACATATTCATGGTTTTGTGGAAAGATTTGGTACTTTCTCTCTTTTTTCTTTTTTAAGGGAAAAGCTATTATTTAACATGTTTAGTTTATATAAATACATCATTGACACAAGGTAGGAATATAGAAATTTTTAGTATTTGTTACCTGAAAAAGTAGCTCAAAAAATATACCATAGTTAACAAGGATAGTTTTCTAAACATACTACTCCATCAGAATCCTCCAATCCAGAGTTAGGTGTAATATGGGAGTTAGAATGTTCCAGATGATAGAATAAAAGGGGATATACAGAGGCATTTATAGTGTTACTACCACCACCAGTCCTCATTTGAAACAATGCCATATGAAACAGAAATGACAGAATGCAAATTCTCAAAGCCTAGGGTTAGATCAAGGTTAGAGAAGGTAGAACCAGGTGATCCACTCCATTAGGGCTTAGAAGAAGATCCATAGGCAGGGCAGAAGAACCATGAAGTCAGCATGGTACAGTGATGGGATAGGGCATTAGTGTCCAATTGGAGTAACTTGTATCCTTACCTACCCCTTTACTAGCTAGAGCAATTTGGGTAATTTACTTCACCTTTTTGAGCATTTCTTTCTTTCAGAAATGAGCATGTGTTAGTTACCTTAGGTGAGAAATAAGATAAAAGGTTTGAAGTGCCTGGACCATGGTAGATACTCAGTAAATATTAGCTCCTGCCTTCCTTTTTCTCCATCCTTCTACTGCTAGCAGTTCCCCAGGACTAGGCTTCCAAGAGACAGTTATCTGAAAAAACCATGATTGCCCTCTTCCACTCGCACCAATAACATTCTAAAAGACGTTATTAGTCTCTGCAGAGATCAGTTGAGTAAACTTACAATGAGTTTCCAAGCCCCTCAGGCCTAGAAATATTCCTAAACCTGATTAGAAGAAAGAGGAATTTCTTGAAGAAAGCTGTTCATTGCATAATTAGAGATTGTAGGCTTAAAATTAAAATAACTGTTTGAAGTTATTTAGTGTAAATATGTTTCATAAAATCAACCATACAAAAATAGATTGTCATATCCTTCCTTGTTCTGATAGAAAGCAAAGGGGTGTAGACCAGCAGGCCCCCTAATGTTGGAAAGGAAGGGAAGGGAATGGAAGGGAAGAAATAACAGGCTGGAAGGCTAGGCTGAGAAATGAAGACAGCCCTCAAGATTTACACCTATGTCTAGGCTTGACCTTTATGTAAACTTTTAATGGCCCGAGTCAATAGAAACTGCATTCTGCAATGGAGAGCAGCTGGAAATCAAAAAACTGCTTCACATGAGCTTTGTAATGAAAACAAACATTGTTAATACAGACAATTGTATAATATGTTGAGGGGTCACTATTTTGAAATATACTTTAATTATATAAGTAATACATAAATATATTTTGGTTGTAAATATTAAACTATACAGATAAAGTGAAATCCTATCATTCTCCCTTAACCACAAAACTTTCAGCACTCTCTGGAGAGCAGTAGTTCTTCAAATTTTAGTCTCAGGACACTCTACACACTTAAAAACTTTTGAGGACCTTAAAGGGTTTTTGTTTATGTGAGTTACATCTATCAATATTAACCGTATTAGAAATTAAAGTTGAATTTATTTACTGTTAATTTATTTAAAACTATCAATACCTATTCCTTGTTGACATATATAACCTGTTTTTTATGAAAAAGAACTATATTTTCCAAAACAAAACGGAGAGGGAAGAATAGTTATCGTTTGACATTTTTACAAATTTCTTTAATGTATGCTCTAGTAAGAAAGCTAGGTTCTCATGTCTGCTTCTGTGTTCAAATCTGTTGCTATTACCACATGTCATGTAGCTTATGAAAAATCTCATTGTAGAATACGAGGTCAAAAAGGCAAATAACATCTTAGTATTAGTATGAAAATGGTTTTGACTTCATGGACCCTCAAAATGATATTAGGGACCCCAAGAATCTCCAAAGCACACTTTGAGAATTGCTACCCTGAAGGTAACTACTATTATCAATTTGGTGTGTAATATTCCAGATTTTTGTAAAACAAGAACTACTTTACTGTACTATAGATAGACACATTCATATGTATAATAACACTGGGACATTTTGTGCAAAATTGGTTTTTTTGTTCATATATGGAGAAAAGAACCCATGGTTTATCAGATCTTGTGACTGAAAGTAGATTAGAAACCACTGGTTTAAAGACTTCATCTCTAATACTTAGTTTACTCATAATATGGAAAAAATTCCCTTTATAGTCCACCCTTATTAAGAATTGTCTCCCACATTGCTGTGTTACAAACCTCTAATTTAGGTGAAAAAAGAATCTCTGGGAATGCACAGCCTCTAAAAAGTATAAGAGGGAGCGTAGGAACCAGGATGATGTGGAAAGGTGTGGCACACTTTTGTGCAGTGATGTTAAAGAATTTGCTAGGTCATACAGGTTAGTCAGCAGTATTAGGGCACTCAAAAGTTGTCCATTAGGAAAAAATTAGACTTCTATCCTAAGTCACTAGAAGAAAGTTAAATTGTGTTAACCACAGTGGTTTTCTACAGTTGTAATGTAGTATGCATTTTAGAAATAATTTCTACTGAAAGTGTTTAACTTGATGGTATAGCATTTAAAAGCCTACGTTTCTGTTAATTGGGAAATCTAATTTGGAATACCTTCCATATTCTCTAAAAGTGAGATGAATGACTCAGACATTAACATAATATAGAAATATTGGTGTAGAATCTTCTATGCAGTTTATGGAATTAGGGAGTTGCTTACTTAATAATAAAGCTATAAGAATTTGTTCCTTGAATCATTAAGTTTATCCTTTGAGGCATATATACACTACTGTTTCTGAAGTGGTATATTAATATTGTTTACTAATTCCTTTTCTAAATATTCCCATCCATAAAAACATTTATGTAATCAATTATTCATGTTTATGTTGTATGTATTAGATATATTACTTTCACACTACAATGGACTTTTATTTTTAAAGTGAAATCAAGTCAATATAATATAGTTGTATTTACATTTATATGATCCTCTTAGTGGATTATTTTCAGAGTTAATTGGCATTCTAAATGAGGCTCATTTCCTTGTAGAATAAAACTGCCAGACTAGTACATTAAAGACAATGGTACAGATACAGTCCATCTTAATTCGAATAAGACCTTTGACAAAGGTATTGTGGTACTCTTTTGATTAAGATAGAGATAGTGCTTTTACTTAGTTTCATCGAAGAATTGTTTTCAAAGGATATTGCTTAATGGCTAGGTAACAGCCTGGAATTTTGTTTTTAATCTTAGGATCTCTTTAAAAATACTGTAGTTTGTTAATGTAGAAAAGTATATAGATGAAATGATCATGATCTCACTACTCAGAGATGATCTTATTAAAAAGCATACACATACCATGATCCATGCATGTGTTAAAAAAAAGAGAAAGAATAAAGTGGAGTAAAATGCATATATAGAGAGAATGAGATCCAGAGCAAAATGTGAAGTGAAAAGTCTCCTCCTCCTGACTTCTGACATCCTGTCCCTCTCCCTAAAGATTTGTTAACTATCCTGTACATCCTTCCCACACAATACCAGAATGCAGTTGTGTCATTTAAACCCACACATGCAATAATATATACACTCTATTGCTTTTTCTATATGCACTTCTTTGCTTTTTTTTCTTTCAGTCAATAACTTGGAGATTTTATCCTTTAGACATATATCTACTTCATTCTTTTTTAACAGGTATATAGTATTTTATATATATATTGAATAGATAATCTTTATTTAACCAGTCCTCTATTAATGACATTTAGATTTCTTTAGGGTTAGTTTCCAATACAAACTTCTATATTTAGTGTTTAACACAATACAATTTTATCACATTACAACCACATGCCAGTTGGACAGCCCATCTCCATCTTGTGGCTCTGCTGTCTGGCCATGTGTCCTCTAAGGACATCACAGCCAAAGATGGAAAAGGCTCACTGCTCTTTACTACCTTGCCCCTCTTTTTTGGCCAGAAGAAATATCTGAAGCTAGGAAATATTGTGATATTCCAGCACCTGGATATTTGAGGAGCACCAGTGGTGTCTGCCACTGTACCAAAAGTAAACTCCCTCCTCAAGCTTCAGAAAGCAGGGGCAGTCATTGCCCAGAAGTTCATTTGAGAAATAAATCTGCATGTGCCAGAAGTGTGCTCATTTCCCAAACAAGCCAGTGCTTGATTTGCTGCATTACCAGAAGTAAAATGAAAATATCTTGGAAGATGGTCATATTTGACTTGATTCTGGGTGCCACATTTTAAGAAGGATTGATATTAACTGTGTCCAGGGAAGTATAGCCAGAACATGATCTATAATTTTGTCTAGAAGACTAGCTCTCCTCTCCAAGAAACTATGGTGTCTTGGAAGAGTTTTCAAAGAGTTAGAGAAGAGGTTAATGGCTTGTAGAGTACAGCATAGACTTAATGCTGTGTTGTTCCCAAGGAGAGAACTAGAACCAATTGATAAGAGTTTTAGGAAGATTTCTCTCACAATGGAGAATATTTAATCAGCAATTTGTGATCTTCATAAATCAAGCATAAACCAGATGACATCTGTGAAGAATGTTGTAAGGAAGATTTCCTGTTTACCATGAGAGATTTGGTCTAGATAATCTGTATGATCCCTTTTCAAATCTGGTTTTTTTATGATGAATGTCAAGTGAATATTCCTTTTTCTTTTTAAATAGGACACCGATGAAATTCAAGTTAACTATCCTGGAATGTTTGAATTGATGGAAGACTTACAAGGTAAGGCACTTTAAAGAATTTTTAGACTCCTTTGAGAGACATGTTTTGAGAGCCAACTTTATGGCAGGCACTGGGGCTAAGCTCTAAGGATCCATTGATGAGGAGAAGACAGATAGTCTTCATGGAGCACTTGATATAAGATGGAAGAGGCAGACACACCAGGCAGCTGTCACAAAGATAAGTGTTAAATCTGAATTATGGTTAGTGCTATGAAGTAGAGGTGTATAGTGCAATGACTGCTTATAAAAGGATGGCGGGACTTTTGTAAAGAGTGCATTTGAGGATGGTAGAACATATCAAAGACTTCTTCTAGCCACAGTTGGCAGCTGAGGTCCGGGCACAAGAAAATGGAGAGTTGGATTAGTTCAGGAATGGGCTTTTGTTAAGGGGATAGGTCCTGCTCTGACAGACTCAAAGAAATCTTGTCTGAGGAAGTGACAATTGAGCTGTGCTCTAAAAAAAAATAAAGATGAGTTAATTAGGTGGAAAGGGCAGGGAAGTGAGTCCCAGGCAAGGAGAACAGTATATGCAAAAGCCTATGGCAAGAACTGAAAGAAGGACATTTTGGCTGGAGTACAGGGAGTAAGAAAGAAAGTTAAATGATGAGATTGGTGGATCAGTGAGGGTCAGGGATCACACAGCAGGCCCTTATTGGCCTTGTTACAATTGTTTGTCCTTATCTTAAAATGCCCCTTGAGGATGTATGGACTAAGGCAGGGGTCCTCAAACTTCTTAAACAGGGGACCAGTTCACTGTCCCTCAGACCATTGGAGAGTGCACACTGTGGGCCCGGGGCGAGTCGGCTGCTAAGCAGGACAGGCAGCTGCAGCAAAAACACCCAGCGGGCCAGATAAATGTCCTAGGTGGGTGGCATGTGGCCCGCCGGCTGTAGTTTGAGGACGCTTGGACTGAGGCAGTAGAGATGAAGAGAAGTGAATGCATTCCAGAGATATTTAGGAGGTAAATTTGATAGTTCTTACTGGTGGATTAGATGTCGGCAGATGAAGGAGAGAGACATTGCAAACGTAACTGCTGAGTTTCTAACTCAGATAACCAGATATATGGTGTCCTTTATTGATAGAGGAAATAGAAGACGACCAAGTTTGGGCAGGGACAATTCTTGAGTTCACATTTGGATACACTGGGTTTGAAGTGCTTTTGGAATATCTAAGAGGAGATGTCAAGTAGACATTTAGGTATATGGGGATGTAGCTCAGAGGAGGCTACTGGCCTGGTTAAAAGGTTGTGAGTCATTTGTGAATAGGTGGTGTTTGAAACAGTTACCTATGGCAAAAGCTTGGAGTGAGCAAAGAAAGTAGCTTAGTTCTGAACCTTTAGGAACCTGCTGTATAGTGACTGGTTAGAAGAAGAGTGAGCCTGCAAGGAGACTGAAAAGGAATAGCCAGCCAGGTGTTCAGAAGAAACGTTAGAAAAGTGTAGAATTGCCTGAACCAAGAGAATGGTGTTTCAAAACAAAGAGGGCACTCAGCAGCATCAAGAGTCACATACAGACTGAGCAGAAAGTCCATTAGCTCTAGGAACAGAAGATTATTGGTGACCTTGGTAGAGTTCTTTTGTTGGAGTGAGGGAAGGAGAATATTGGGAGTAAGTTAAAGAGTAAGTGGCAGGTGAGATAGCAAATGTATGCTGTTCTCTCTAGAAGTTTGGCTGTGAAGAAGAGAGAAGAGATGGAAAGGTTACAGGTGTCAGAGGAGAGGAGAGGAATAAGAGATGGGATGAGGTTTTATATTTTGTTTTGTCTTAGGACTTGAATTTATATAACTGCTGACTGGGAGAATTCAAGTGTTTCCATAGAAGGGTGACTCTAGAAGAAAGAGAAGCAATAATTGATGATTCAGTTACCTCGGAAGGTAGAGGCCAACAGAGGGGTTGACCTTGGATAAGAGGAGAAGCAGATTTATAGAAGGAAGGGAGGAGAGTAGTGCCAATGGAGCAGATATTTATGTTTGATAGTAGAAGTTCCCATCTCATGGATCTGTTTTCTTTGTCAAACAGGAAGCAATTTCATATGCTGAGAATGATATGGTCAGAGGTTTGAGAACTGAGTGGAGATGGTTTGAATTAGTCATTGTAGAGAATGGGAAAGTGAATTGACCAGGGAAAAGTTAGAGAATTTGAATGGTGCGTTTGAGTTGGTAAGATATATCAACAGTAGTTCACAGCTCAAAGCCAGGCACAAAAAAGCAGATAGTTGGGTTAGTTTGATTGGAGTTTGGTAGTTTGAAAGTGACAAAAAGACAATGGCAAAAGATAGCTCTAAGAGTGTAATTGGAAGAATCTATGCTGGAATAAAAGGGAAGTGGGGGCCAGGTGCGGTGGCTCACTCCTATAATCCTAGCACTCTGGGAGGCCGAGGTTGGCAGATTGCTCGAGGTCAGGAGTTCGAAACCAGCCTGAGCAAGAGCGAGACCCTGTCTCTACTATAAATAGAAAGAAATTAATTGGCCAACTAATATATATAGAAAAAATTAGCCGGGCATGGATGCACATGCCTGTAGTCCCAGCTACTCGGGAGGCTGAGGCAGTAGGATTGCTTGAGCCCGGGAGTTTGAGGTTGCTGTGAGCTAGGCTGATGCCATGGCACTCACTTTAGCCTGGGCAACAAAATGAGACTCTGTCTCAGAAAAAAAAAAAAGGGAAGTGGGGGAAAAAAGAATGAGCTAATTAAGTGGGAGAAAGTAGAGCAGCCATGCACAGGCAATCCCAAGGTGGTCGGAGAATAGTCATGGTTGAAGTACCTGAACATACTAGAAGGATAGAAGGATATGAGCAGAAAATGGGATATTTGATGGTTTGGGAAGTAAAGCAGTTACAAGTGATAACTCGGCCTGGAACATGTCACAGAGGCAAAGGTGGAGTGATGGAGAAGTTCATTAGAGATGAAATTAAAAAATCCTAACTTGATAGTTACTAACATCAAAGTCACCCAGGGTGGTGGCAGAACTGGGGATATAAGGTAAACCTGGCCAGGTGCCAGACCCTTCAGTGAAGGAGAAGAGTGACTGGCCTGATGTCTGACAGCAAGCCAGGAGTAGGGAAAGGTAACAGCCAAGTGGTCTGGGCCTCATCAGGGTGAGGGTGCTAGATAGGCTGGGGAAGTAACGGCCTGTAAGAGGCTTTAAGGAGTACCAAGGACACAGATCCAACTCCAAATGCAAGAGTAAGCATCTGTTACTTGAAAGGGATGCTGGGGTGATGATTATTCTCAAAAGAGAGCTTTAGCTTGCCTCCTTTGTGAGACTTTGTGAGTTTTGTTTGTTTTTTTACACAGATGTCATAGTTTTGATGAATGGGGGAAGGTGGAGGGGTTAAAGGTGTGTTCTGTGAAGTTCAAGTAGCCTTAATCTGGCTCATGAAAAATTTTAAGATGATTTAAAATATAGGATTATAAAAGTAAGTGTCTGCTCTTTATTTACAGATTTAACAGTTTTTTTGCGAACATTGCTGCCCTTACTTTCCTGTATTACATGTGAGAAAGATTATGCCCAAAGAGAACTACTTGCCTCTTTGTGGCAGAATTAGGTGCCCAACTCTTGCCTTGTTGACTCCTGCTCTGGTGTTCTCTTAACTGACCCTGTTGCTTCTTGGAGTTGTCCATTTCTAACAAAGTTCGTCTTGCCCATTGTCCAGTGTCCTCTGAGTATATATGAAACTTCTGTTAACTTTACAGGGTAAAGATGTGTAGCTGAAATGTATCATTGTAGTCACTTTTCATTCATACAGATTAGCAGCCTGTAGCATGTGTGCCCAAGATGACAGAGGATCAATAATATGACTCCCTTCCGAAGCACTGCCCCCAGCACCTTTATCCAAAGGCCTGAGAGATGGTGGTGGGCTGATTTCTCATTCAGGCTCTAATGATAAAAATATGTTTCAAATACAGCATTTATTTTTTTTTCTGCTGTATAATAAATGGTGTGCTCATGATTCAAGAAAGAAATGAAAAAGAAACCCTATTAAATGAGAAAGTAGACCTATTAACTACCATCCTGACCAAGTTATAAAACATTTCCAGGCCCCTAAAAGGTTGCCTCATGCCCCATCCCAGTTAATAACCTCTCTTCCCCTAAGGGTTTTAAATAGGTCATATATTTTGGGGAACTATTGCCTAATTTTTACCTTTGAGAAGCTCTGCCAGTGCTTTTCATTTTCACTGTAAAGTCATTTACAGAAATGCATTTTAGTCTTTGATATCTCTTATCCTTAAGAGAATTAAGAGGAATTATTTAAAGATAACATATCAATGTAATATTTTACAAAGTACATATAAACATTAACTGGTTAATTTTATATTCATCCACTTATTATTTATTGAGCATCTACTACGTGCCAGCCACTGAGCCAGTGATGTAAATATATAGTTCTGGTCTCAGGGAGCTTCTATTCTAGTAGAGAGGAAGAGACACACAAAGATAGACAGATATTTGTATTCAACTGTAGAATGAGATCGTTGTTTTTCAAAGTACATGGAGAAACACAAGAGAAAAAGCCCTTACATCTGCTTAGAGAGTCAGAGATACTTTTGCAGAAGAGGCAGCACCTAAGCTAAAATTAGTTTGCTAGGAGAATGAAGGAAGGGTTCAGGTTTACGGGAGTGGGCATTACATTCCACACTGAGGAAATGGCCAGTGTAAAATCATGGAGGCGTAAGTGGATATGCACATCCTTCACTCTGCTGATGAAGAAACTGTATAGTAATTCAGTATTGTATGAGTATGTAGAATGTAGAGATTATGGGTAATGACAGGATTAGAGGCTTCTGGGTTTTTTGAGGTGAGCTTTCTAGTGTTATGGAAGAATTTTGCACCGAGGGGAGACAATCAGATAGATTAGTGTGTTAGAAATCTCACCTTCCAGCATTGTTTATGAGGCATAGTTTATGAGGAAGAGGAAGGTAAGACTAGAGCTAGCATGGCTAATTTGTCTTGTTATGTAGAAGGAAACTGAGGCACAGGGCGAAGTTAAGTAAATTGTCCAAGATGATGTAATTAGTAAGTGGTAGAGCCAGGATTTAAATTTAGTCAAGAAGCCTGATTTGTGTCCTGAAATCTCAACCACTCTACCGCGGGAAAAGTCAGAGGCAGGTGAGATGAGCGAAGGAGGGAGGAGAACGTGGGAGACTTCCAAGTGTTCTGCTTTTGCCAACTAGAAGACTGTGTCACTTTCAAATTTGTTTTTGGTATTTGACATTTGTAGTATACTTTTTGCCTGATGGTGTGGTGTGTCTCATTTAAGCTGCTATTATTAATTCACAGGAAAAAAAGTCCAGAATGTTGACCTAATTTTACAAAACAAGTTGCATATCAGCTGACGAATGCATGAGAAATTTTCAAGGCTTTCACAGTGGTTTTAAGGTAAGTTCAGTTATTTTTTTTAGACAATACTCAGTATTGTTCCTAATAAACTGTAATATTAATAAATTAGGAGTTTTTTTTTTACTAAGCCGTTGAACTTAACCTTAAAAACACTGTGAGAGTCTTAAATAGTTACCTGCTGGCCAGATTTTTTTTTTGTTATCCCAAAGCCCAGAGCCAGTCCTGAAGTCCCAGACTTTTCTAGGTGGTCTTTAGAAAAGGTCTACCACAATCTATTAGGAAGTATCATCATTCTGTTTTGAGGATTTTGCCCCAGGTCATGTAACAGCTAAAACTGGGATTATGATCCCAGAGTCCAGACTCTTTCCACCACATCACACTGCTTCCACAGGAGAAGGGACGTTCTGTGTGGCAGGGCACTTCTCTGTGAGGGAAAGGTGGACTGTTGCCCAGTTACCACCTGTGCATACAGTAGTGCTCTTAAATTTCTGTATGGCTGACCTAGCTCAGCCCTTCAGAGCATTTTACCTACTAATCTTAATTAAAATATCCTAATATTGTTTGTTAAGCAGGCATTTTAGAATTTCTAGTACATCATATATTTATATTAAAAAAAATTAAATTTGTTTTCCACTGGTGTAATCTGTGTCTAATGCATAAGTAAACCATGGCAGCAGGAAGTTGAGCACAAATGGAAGCACCACACCAATTATCAGCAACAGACTCTTGTAGTGTGAGTCCCAATTTACCTCTGATCACTTGATGTGGCTGATACTTGCTATGTAAAATGTTTTTAAATTAGATTATGTAGTGAGTCTAAAACATATTAGCACTAGAAACTTTTACAGACCGTCTAGTCTGGCTACCTTGGAGACCTCAGGTGTTTGGTTTGAGGTTGCCCACCTGCTTCCTGACAGAAGAGTATGATCCACCTTTTTCTTGATGATTAATCTACTAGTTTGAGTCTATTCCTCATGAATTGGGGCTGTTATACTCACAGGATAGGGGCCATGGATTTTAGTGTCAGAGAGTCATTATTTTAGGGAATAATAGGAACTTTTGGGGTTGAAGAGAAGAAAAAGGTTTTGTTATTGCTGCTAATTTGTTGTTTTTAATAAAGCTATTAAAAACTTGGTAGATTATTATATTTAAACTGTTGAGTACTGATATTAGAGAGTTAATATTTGTTTTTTAATTTGTGAAAGTAGAAGAGTAAAACTAAGAAACTAATGCTTGATCATGTAGTAAACTTTAATACAGAGAATACATATAAAGAATTTTTATTTTTGAAATTCTTTTAGCAGACTGGAATGTGCCTTTTCAAAGTAATTTTAAGTATGTGCATAAAGAAACATCAAATATACATTAATTTGTGTTGAACAGTGGAATAATATTTATCCTAACTTTTAACCATCAACTTGAAGGAAAGAAGTCTAAAAATGAATTTTAAAACATTAAAAGAAGTACCCCTGAAAATAATACACATAATTCTTTCCTAATCTGGAAGTAGTAAAATATTGTAAAATCTGAGAACATATAGTAGCTTTGGTACTTATCTAATGAATCTCCAAGCCCTCTTCCAAATTTCACAATCACACTTACATTTATGGCTTAGAAGGAGTGAGGCATTGTGGCACTGGCCTATCCTCCTCCAAGGATCAGCTAAAGGGGCTTAGAAAGGCACTTGCCAACTACTGACAACTCACTTGGGGGAGCCAATCACCTTGATTTTTGCCCAGCTGGCTTACTTTAGACCACTGCTGGCAAGAAAAGCATTGTGGGGCTTGCATTCTGAAATTAGACTTCACTTGTCTTAGTATCCATGAAGCTTCAAGTTATTTTGCTTCAGAATTACTAAGAAGCCGAGCTGTAATCTGAAAGTGAAGCAAGATTTAGGTTAGTTTACATGATTATTAGAGAATGGGAACAGGTGAACTATTGGATGAGATGGGGTTAAATCTGTGATACTGAGCTGCTGAGGGTACTTGCTGTATTATCTCAAACTGCCTGTAGTGTATTTTTAGGTATGGGTGAGAGTAACTGCTCTTGGAACAGAAAAGCCCTGCTGCACCGAGACACAATGCTGGCGGCTGCAGCAGTGTACAGAGGTAAGGGAGCTGTGACCCATCCTTTCCACCTGAGCCTTACTGAAGAATCTGTGCTGTGTCATGTTGATTCCCTGAACATTCCCCTTAATGGGAGTCCTTTCCCATTAAGGCTCCATCAGACTTCTTGTCCTTCCTCTCAAAACACAGATCCTGTAGCTCTGTCTTTTTCCAGACAGCATTTCTTATTTCCTTACTATTCAGCCTCTTGGTATTAAGAATTTTTCATGTAAAGCGTTGTCAGATTCCTACAGGTATCCTAGTACCTGTTTCTCTTTGGAGGACATGAATTTTATTGAGCAGATTTTTTTCCTACTTGCATTTTTAGACTTTAACTATTATTGTTTGTCTTTATAGAAATGTATAGAAATGAAGATGGTTCAGTACCTGCCACATATCAGATTTATTACATGATAGGATGGAAATATCATGATTCACAGGTAACATTATTAAGACAGATCATTTTTCTTAGTGGGTTCATGTTTCTGTGGGGTTTTTTTTATTATTGTTTATTAAGTTTTGAAATTTTTTAGAGACAAGCTGGAGTGAGTTGGTGCAACCAGAACTCACTGCAATCTTAAATGCCTGGGCTCAAGCAATCCTCCCACCTCAGCCTCATAAGTAGCTTGGACTATAGGAGCAGCATCATGCCCCGCCAATTTTTAAAAATTTTTTCTAGAGATGGGATCTCACTATGTTGCTCAGGCTGGTCTTGAACTATTAACCTCAAGCAATCCTCCCACCTTGACCTCTTAAAGTGCTAGGTTTACAGGCATGAGCCACTGCACCTACCTAGTTTTTTTTTAAAAAAAATTTAAGACAACATTAAGGGGTTTAATCAGGGCTGTGTGTATCTATCTATTTCTAATATCTTTAATCTTTATATTATTTTCAGGCAAGACCAGCTGAAAGAGGTTCTGCAACTGTGTCATTTGGAGAGCTAGGAAAAATAAACAGTCTTATGTCACAGGGGAAAAAATCACAATAAATATTTTATTCAATGTTAATGTCCAGAATTTTCATCAGAATGGATAGCTTTCACATCTAAAATTATTGCATTTTGAAGCAAGAAGCACTCTATAAGCTACTTGCTAATAGATTTTTCAAATAATTGGAATAACTTAAAACCACATCTACATTTAGTAATCATTTCAGTTTCACATTGTTTCTGTTTTCATAAGGACGCTTGTTAGCTAGTGATTTGGGTGTCTTGTTTGCAGATTCAGCCTAAAAGCAAAGAAAATATTTCCATGAAAAATTCACAAATATGCCCATATATAAATATCTAACTTGATGAGAAGACATTATTCATGTTGACATTTTGTACCTTTTTCTCTTTCTAGTCCTTTGTTATTTCTGTGAGAGGACCATAGCCATGGAGATGAAGGGAAGAACAAGTTGGTAGGTTCTTCATAGTTCTGGCTCATTTAGAGTGAAAACAATAAGGCACAAAAGTCAAATTTTATTTATCAAGTGTACTTAAGCCAGAATTTTATTTGTCATAGTGTTGTCTTTGCCTCAAAGAGAAACAGATGATTCGGTACTTTCTCCAGAGCTATTGTGTAGTTTTGGACTTTAAAAGACCATATATTTTTATTGAATTCCTCCTCACCCCTTTTTTTTAAATCATTTGAATTCTGATCTTATTTATTTTTTACTTCCATGGTCTGAGTGGGACCACCATGGTTTTTATGCCCCACCTTATACTTTAGGGAAGAAGAAAACATTTTAAAGAATTACAGAGGCAAAATCACATATAAAAGTTTCTGCACAGTGATCAAATGTGTGGTTAATTTTATACTTTCCTTTGTAATTTCAGGCCATACGCACTGTTATCCTAATCCAAGTTCATTGTCCCATTGTCATCAGTAAGGTTCAAAATTATTTGGAAATAATCAAGCTCAGACAGACTAGGTGGGAAGAACATAGATGGTGATAAGAAGGAAGTGGGGAGGAAGCTAAGAAGCAAACAGGAGTGAATGCCCAGACTGATTTTTCCAGTCCATAGTGAGCTGTTTTCTGTCCTTTCCATTTAACCTGAGCATGGCCCCAGCCTCCTCTCCAGTAATTTATGATAGTCTTTGCTTCTCTCAAGTCTCTTTCTCCTCTACCTTCTTTCCCTCTCTCTACCCTATGAGCACCAAGCTCTTCCTGGGTACAGGCTTTGTCTTACCCTGTACATAGTGCTGTTCTTTACACAAAGTAATAGATACTTAGTTTCATTCTGAGTTGAATTAAATTGTAAAAAACATGCCCTTTAAAAGACTAAATTAAAAGTTAAAAACTGCAGGAGAAAATTACTATTCTTGCTCTCTTCTGTTGGGAAAATCTTTGATATTTGAAATTAGGGTAGTCTTGGTAGCTTTTTTGTTTTGTTTTTAACACAGTGAAAGAACCTTTGAAGGAGAATTTGGGGGATATTTTTTAGCTAGATTTTCAGAATTTGAAAAGAGAGAACAAACAACGACAAAAATCCCTGTGTATTAAAGTACAAACTGATGATGAACAGATAAATTCTAGGGTGTTTATGTTCCCAAAAAGACATGTGTTTATGTACATTAATATTTATTTTTGAAGAGTGCACATGAAAGTGTAAGTGGCTATTACTGAGGAAAGGGACTAAGGAACTTGGTGAGTCTGTGTCATTTTGTTTGTCCAGGATGCAGAAACTAGGAGGGAAACTTGTCTTTTTTTTTTTTAAAAACTTTTTGAAAATTTTGAAAATTTCCTACCAAAGATACTGCTTTTGTTTATTTAATGCCTACAAGGTATATGTGGGTGGTAGAGGTAGAGCTGGGGAGGAATCTACCCTGGGCTATCTCAAAAATAAAGGAAAGAAAAATGAACACAATTGAGGACTCTTTTGTTTAATCTGAGTGACAGTAGTGAAATTATTTATTTTAGTGTGAATGACATTAGTAAAATGTTTTTTTAGTTAATATCAGCTTGAAGTATACTATTAAGCTTTGCTTGTTTAGAACCCTCAGGGAATTTATATTTGTGAATAGCCAAATTTTCCAAATGATTAAGAGCTCATTGCATTAAGCAACAAAACTTTAAAAAAAAGTCTTACCAAAAATTTTTTCAAAATATGTTACATTCGTAAATGGTGTATGGAAAAGAACCATTTCTTAATAACCCCACAGGTATTATCATAAACTCTAGTTATATTGTATCACTTGTTCCCAGACTGACCAGCCCCAAGAATAGTGTGGTTTGCTTTGTGTCTCTTTTCCAACAATTTTCTTATTTGCTGTCAGTTGTCAGTCTTGACAGCTTGACCAAAATGAACTTTCTTGAGTCAGTTCCTGTTTCTTCTGATCTGCTGTATGATTAGAATTCAGATTAGAAGGTTTCTAGGACCAGTATATAAGGCAGGAAAGAGTATCCTAGGTGCTGGGAGAAAGACTTCCCTTTTGAGTCAAATACAGGAGCTTTATTGGTTCCTTTAACAGATCTTCATTGAATTTCATGTGCTAGGCACCAACTATTTCCTACCCTTTTAGTTGTCAGTTGGATAGGGCTTCAGTTTGTGGACATTGTGACACTAATTGGCTGCTAGGAGACTGGATTATTTCCTCATTCTTAGTAGTATTCCAGGTTGTTGACCTGAAGAATTCTAGAGGTTGTAGTAAATAGGAAAATGTATGTTTTATGTGATTGCTTTATAGAAAGAATTTCTGTAGGATTTGTTGACAGGTATTATAAAAAGTTACAGAAGTGTGTAACTCATGAAGTATATATGAAGGAAGTTTTGTTATTTTTCAAACCCTTTTAGTACCATTTTCATCCACTAGGTGGAAACAGTTACAGTATGGCCTATATTAAAGATGTGCAACTTTATGCCATTTATATATCCCTTAAGTAGGAATGGAATAAAAGTATTTTACTGTGGATTGGCTTCCATTTAGGAAAGAAATTAATATTAACAGATCTTTGAATAAAAGAAAGATACTTGGCACAGTGATTTTTTTTTTTTTTTTGAGACAGAGTTTCACTCTTGTCCAGGCTAGAGTGCTGTGGTGTCAGTCTAGCTCACAGCAACCTCAGCCTGGGCTCACTCGATCCTCCTGCCTCAGCCTCCTGAGTAGCTGGGACTACAAGTGCTTACCACCATGCCTAGCCTGTTACAGTGATTATTATTCTATTCTTTCCTAAGTTACCATTATCCTCTCTTGCTTAAGAAGAAATATTTGGAACTTTTTCTTTTTTTTTGAGGGGTCAGTTGTTAATAAGGTGAAGTTAATCTTCAGAAAACTTACAAGTAGACCTACCTTTCCAGATACTGGTATATTTTAGTTCTCTGCCTGGTTATTTGACAGATAATTTATCTTACTACTTTGAAAAAACATTAATTTGAAAATAATAGAAGGTGCAGTGAGCACTGGCAAGTTGTTAACAAATAAGGAAGTAAAGCTTTGTGGTGGTTTTAAAATCTATCCACAAATTCTTTGATATGTTTCTCCTTAAGACAGGGTACTTCCTTTCCCTCCCTTTAAGTATGGGCTGAATTTAGTAATTTCCTTTTCAATGAATAGAATGTGGAAGTGATAATGTATCACTTCTGAGAGTATGTTATAAAAGCCATTGCCTCCTTCTTGCTCTCTTGGGAATCACTCACTCTGGCGAAAGCCAGCCTTTGTATGGTGAGGCCACTCAAGCAGCTCTGTGGAGAGGACCTCGAGGTGAGGAGCAGAGGCCTCCTGCTAAAAGCCACATGAGGGAGCCGTGTTGGAAGCAGATCCTCCAGGCCCAGTCAAACTTCAAGATGACTACAATCCCAGCCAAGATTTGACCAAAACCTCATGAGCAAGAACTACTCCAGCTAAGCCACTCTCCAATGTGTTACTTACAGAAAGTAAGATAATAAATGTTTGTTGTTTAAACAATTGTGTTTTAGAGTAATTTGTTACACAGCTGTAGATAACTAATACACTGTCTTTGGGAAGTGTAGTAGGGTAACAGGATATTCTGAGTTCTTACTTTAAGTAGAAAACATAGCCTGCTTATTTAAAATTAGGTAAAGTTAACATAAACTGTCATAGCACGTTCTCAGAGAACACCAGGCCGAGATGCTCTGGAGGCCTGGAGGTTTGATTCCGTGGTATCTTGAAATAGAACTAACCTCCCAAGGTAAGTTTTTTTCCTTTTTTTTTCCAAGGTAAGTTTAGTAGGCCTCCAATTTCATTTCCTAGGAATATTAGGATCAAGTTTTTGGAAGCCTAACGGGGGCTAATTCCAAAATGAAACCAGAGAATTTGGGAAGACTCTGACCTTGAGAATTCAACGAGCTACACAACTACACACAGATTCCTTAGTTCCCTTCTGCCTTAGCTGTTGGGTTGCCAACGGCTCATTATGGGATTGAACTGTTGACACTGCATACTTGTTACCAGGCTCTCAAATGAGCACAATGCTATGGAACTAGGGCTTTTTAAAGCCTGACTTGATCCTGTGTTGATAGCCATTATTAAAACTAGGCGAAGGTAAACTCCCTGTACTTTCAAAGTGGCCAGTATAAACCAGCCAGTATTCAGATCCCCTCGGACGGGAATCTTGTGCATGTGTCCAAAATGCCCATTGCTAGTTCTATCAGAGCCAGCGAGGCAGAAGGATAGTCAGGAATAATAAGAGTCTTTGTACTTGGGAGATAGAGGAGAGGAGAGTTCCAAAGGAAGACTTGCCAGGCTTTGCTAGAAAAGACTATGGAAGTAGTGGAAAGGGCAGGGACTGGGAGTCAGATGGTCTGGGATAGTGCTGGCTCTGTTCCTGATGTTGGGGCAAACTCCATCTCTCTGACCTCAGGAACTTCGTCTTTAAAATTACAGGTTTAGTATCTGATGAGTCTCAAAGGAGGCCTACCTTCCAAGTTGCTGAGGGGCTTTTTCAAAAAAAAACACTTCCACCTTCCTCAGCTTGGTTAAGAAGCATGGCCATGGGGAGCCCCTGTCACAAAAGTAGAAAATGGGAGATGTTGGACAGGGTGACCTCAGAGAAGCTTGGAGCCTGATCCCAGGACCTGAGTCCCAAGACAAAGTGGACAGGATTATCCTCCTATCTTTACAATTTCTCATACCTTCTGTTGACCTTGGGGACTTCTTTGCCCTTCAAAGTTAACTTTGATATCATCTGAGGATAAGACTTAAGAAGGAAGCACAGTGATTTGCCTCGAGTCTCCTGATCTTAGAAGTGGGCCCAAAGGCATTTTTAAGTTTCTGGGCTGCAAAGGAGGGCTCAGACCCTTATATATTCAGCATGGACAGCCTTCTTTTTTTTTTTTTATTTGAGACAGAGTTGTTTTGTTGCCCAGGCTAGAGTGAGTGCCATAGCATCAGCCTAGCTCACAGCAACCTCAAACTCCTGGGCTCAAGCAATCTTGCCTCAGCCTCTCGAGTAGCTGGGACTACAAGCATATGCCACCATGCCCGGCTAATTTTTTCTATATGTATTAGTTGGCCAATTAATTTCTTTCTATTTATAGTAGAAACCGGGTCTCACTCTTGCTCAGGCTGGTTTCGAACTCCTGACCTCAAGCAATCCGCCCGCCTCAGCCTCCCAGAGTGCTAGGATTATAGGCGTGAGCCACTGTGCCTGGCCTGGACAGCCTTCTTGTAATACATTTTCCATGGGAAAATTTTCTCTTAGTCACCAAGCATTTGGCATTTGGAAAGTGTCCCTGAATTTTACAAAAAGTTCCCAGTTATTTCTCCAGGTGACAAAAGTCCTGGCTACTATCGCACCAGAACAGGAAATGCTCAGGCTTCAGGTGGCAGCACTCTGGAGGACCAAGTGAAGGAATAGATGAGAAAGTACTGCAGTCTAACCAAGTCAGGTTGTCTGTAATTTCTTGAGAAGCCAGCTAAACACTTGTCATTCTCAACAAATGCAGCTTCGTTTAATCTGACCAACCTGTGTCATGGGTTGATGAAGCCCTCTTTTTAAAGATCTATGTAAAACACTCTTGCCAGGCAGTGTGCTAAGCCTTTGATACGCATTCTTAATTCTCATTTCATCCTCACAGTTCCCTGTGAAGTAGATATTAGTCCTATTGTCTCCACTTTTCAGATGTGGTAATTAGGAAACAGAGAAGTTGTGACCTCTAACATAAGTGACAGAGTGAAGATTAACTTTAGTCTTGTATGTGACAGTGCAATTAACCATGTTATTATGCTACCACTTTTTTTTTTTTAATAAGCAGTGTCTTACTCTGTCACTCAGGCTAATCTCAAACACCTGGCCTCAAGCAGTCTTCCTACCTTAGCCTCCCCAAATCCCAAAGCGCTGGAATTACAGGTGGGAGCCACCACATCCAGCCTTTTGCTGCATTCTTTTAGAAGGCAAAGCCTATGAGCTACAAACCTTTCCTTTTATATCCTGCCTCCTGCCAGCACTCCAACCAGGATATCTGAACCAGACAGGTGATTCCATCCACTATCCCCAACACATGCTTAGCCTTGCCCTTGAATCTTTGTCCCTGCAGAACTGCCTGCCCTCCAACTCTTCTGAATCCCTTCCACTCTAAATTTTGTCATCCTTCAAATCCACCTCAGGTTCATTTGGCTTTCTTGTCCCAAGCCATCTTGAACTTTTGTTATTAGTAGTTCCATCTCCTTTAGCATTTTATACGTTGTTTCCCGTTCATGAATTCTGGCTCTTCAGCTAAATGTTTAGCTCCTTGAGTATCAGCTCTGCTATAACCAGGGTTCCAACAGCCATGGGGAAAGCTCAGATATGAACCCTGTGAGCACTGCACACAACAGGAGACCAGAAAGGCAGTTAGCATCAGATACATTCAGCTGCAAATCCCAAGAATCAGCTACTCAATTGGGATTCAAAGCTAAACTCTTCTCTCAGAGGAATCTGACCAAGAAAAAGAGTTGAACATGAATAATGGGGGGAATATAATTGCTATGACTGGGAAATAGAGAAGGGCCTGGCTTTAGAGAATAAGACTAGAACCATGTTGTGAGGTCAAAGCAGGGCCTCAGCAGAATTGGTTAGGCATTGCACTATGGGAGAGGGTAGGTCCCAGTGCAGGCAGTCATTAGATGCCAAGGTGGTCCAGTAGAGTAGTGGTTAAGATTAGCATGAATTCTGAAATCAGACCCTTCCATTGAATCCCCTTTCTGCCATGAACTAGCTTACCTTTGGAAAGCTACTCAACTGCTATGAAATGAAAGCCATTCTTAGAAGCATTAGTATTATACAATGCTTAGCAGAAAACAAGCATCAGACTTACTATTTCTTAGGCTTAAAAAGCCAAGCTCATTATGCCTTGCATGTCTGGCGTGATAACTCATACAGAACGTTAATAGGTGTTTCAAAAGGTGGGAGTGGAGTGGAGAGAGGGAGTGAGTTTCCAGAGGTAAATATTGAGAAAGCCAAGTTAAACAAAACTAAATGGATATGTTTCCTATAAGATTTCTCAGAACCTTTGATACAGTTGTAAATCTCCCAAAGAAGGCTAATTTTATGACATCTTCCAGACTTAATAACCCTTTTATCAAGGAGCATCTTGTAAGACCTTGAACCTGTGTTGGGAAACGTTAACCTAGCACAATGCCAAGCATTGTAGAGACTTGTTAAATCATTTAAATAGTTCTGGAAAAATCTACATTCAGTTATCAGAATCTACTCACCTGTCAAATTGTTTATGAACTTTCTCAAGGCAGTCAGTGCAGTGGTTAAGTCCTGGATCTGTGACCTTGGACAAGTTACTTGCCATCAGTTTCACCTTCTGTAAAACAGGGATGATAATTCAGCATTCTCCCAGGAAGGTGGTTGTGAAGATCAAATGAGTTAATAATATATTCAGTTAGAACAATGGCTGGCACATAATAAGCATATTATGTTAGCTATTATTATTTCAGACAGAATGAATATTAGGGAAGCTTTCAAGAATAAATTATTGACTCCTGTTGTGCTGCTAGCTTACCATTTGTCCTACGGTAATTGCCTCTTGCTCACGCAAAATGATTGATTTGATTTATTAATAAACAGGTACTACTTCCAGTCACTGTCCCTTTTTAAGAAAGAATAAATCACGTGACAGCTATTTTGCTTCTATGGCAAAATCCAAATAGAACTCAAATATAAGATTTGAGTTCAGTCTTCACCTAATACAAATAAATTTTTGTATTAAGTGAGGATTGAACATTTTTTTAGAGGTACTTTACCTAGGATTATTTTCTGATTAATGAAATACAAGTTAGGATAACTCATTTCACAAAGCACACACCTCAAAAAAATAGAAAGTAAATGTTTCCGTCTGGAAGCATCCAAATGCTGGAGGAAATTAATTGGTTGAGGAAAAGAAAGGGCTAAGAATTCTAAAAAATCTCACAGCCTGAAAATTAATTCTATTGTTGCCACACGTGAGAAGATTTAAAAACATGTTTCTGTCATAGACCTTAACTTCTCACCTGAGAGGCTAGATGGAACTATAAAACCTTTGAGCTGTAAGACATTAGAGCAATCTTGTTTTGCAAATGAGGAAGCTTGAATCCCACAGAGAGGAACCGATTTGCCTGAGGCTACTAGCTGGTGGGGAGAGGGCTGGAATGTGGGCGTTCCAGAGTCTTGCCCAGCAACCTCTGGCAGGCCTGATACCATTCACACAGCCACAGCAGGGCTACGGGCCCAGCTGGTACCTGCCCCCTCAGGAGGTAGAGGTGAGAAAGGGGTGATTGTCATGGAGGTCCATAGGGGAGTTCTCTATTCCAAGGGCCTCCAGTATTAGGTCCTTCACAAAATCCAGAGTCGCCCCTCACACCGAATTTGTTTAGAGCAAACTTCTATGTTGCAGGTTATAATAGACCTCAACCGGGGCTGCACGTCAAGAACTGAAAATAAGAAACTGCTGCCTGGCCCTCACTCCCAGACATTC